CTGGGTCGGATGTAGAGGAGTGGCGTGTGGTGAGTGCTGCAGTGAGGTCAGGAGGGTTTATTTGTTTTCATCATGTCTCGTTCTGCATCAATGTATATTCATGTGTAGCGATGCCTATAATTCAATTGACGTGTTTCATTAATTCATCTACGGTGTTGTAAGGGATTCGAGCTCCCTATGGTGCACCATCCTAGGTAATTGATCCCTAGTACTCTCCTTCGCCTCCTTCCAGCGCTCAATTCTTGCTAACCAAGTCTCTCAACACCGCCCCAGTGGTGTAATAGTAAATGCAGACGAAAGCAGACATCAGATAGGTGTTATCTTATCGTCTGGAGCCTGCTTCTGGGCTTAACAGAAGGGAGAAACACAAATAAGTACGCACTTGCACTCGACAGCTACCCAGCAATGTGTTGCTCGATGGCTGGTACTGGCTTTGTTTGTATTCAAGGTTACCACTCAAATGACATACAACGCCAACTGTGCGCTACCCCATCTCCATTTCGCTTGACTTCCTTTTTATTTCATTCAATTGAGGTTGCATTTAGGAAGCTGCGTCCTGTGAATTTGCCCGAATTATTCTCCATGGATTGTACGTTCCGATAGACTACTTGCAAAGTGGGCGGTTTTTTGTTCAATGAAGGAAAGGGGATCACACGCAGTATCTACTCTTACCAACCGAGAAGATACGAATTCTTTATCTAAAAATCATTGGTCTAGTATTCTCTAGGATGAGGAGACGAAGGACCTCTACAAACAGGTTGCATCTCCGACGAGGCTGGTGCAAAAACAAGAGGTAGGGACACATTCCCGGTGGAACTCTCTTCAGTGTGATGAGCTGTGTTGTACAGCTCGCGGTGCATGCGTGTCGCTAGTATTCCGTGTATCACGACCTGGAAACTACGAGACAGTCAGTCAATATGGTCGGTCCAGGAAATGGCCCTTACGTTGATGCTACATCTCCGTACGATGCCTGTGATCAGGTCTTGAGTTAGACGTTGGATTCGTAATGTTACTATGAACCGCACAGGAAGAGTAACCACCACGACCGCGACCGTGGTGGAAAATACTGATCCACCACAAATGTTAATATCAATTTGTGAAGAATCATGTTTCGACTCACAAAGCCCACAGGCAAAGTAAAACATGTTATGTCTGACCAGGACCCGTACAAGAGGGATGTCGTTTCCATGTTCTCTATAAAGCTTCCACGAATGGTATAACATGAAACTGAGGATTTCTATGAAATATTTAACGCGACAACATAAAAATACCGTGAAACCCACCTATTTCTACGATGACGAGCACAACGTATGCTGCGATGACAATAAGACTTTGCTTGCTATCATAGCAATTGCGACTTTTGGAATAGGTGACTGCATGACTATATCACATAGCTGTGAACCACCAAATCACCAGTAGGAGGAGACTCACTTGTGGAAGAAGAGTGGGATAATGTAAGTGTCACCGCCACTGGGACCAGGAAGAGCTATACATTGGGCTATTGACAAACATTTCACATATAAAAGACTGACTTACCACAACGTTACAACACGTTATGAGCCATCTGCGACCCATTACCGCCCAAACCCTCTGCATAAAAGTGCTGGAGAATGTTGCAATCAGGGTCAGCCACAGAAATAACGAATAGCAAAGGATAAACATTCTGCACAAACCATTACGATTCCTCCAACATCTGATAGGGGTGTCAGTTCCGGAAATATTCGTTTCATAAGGGATCAAACTCACATATGCTGAACGCAAACAAAGTTTCGCAGGACTGAGATTTATTGAGCTTTAAGAGCGACATGCAAGGATAAAAAATATACCTTAAGGGAAAGTCCAAGCTGTGAGATTCCTGAAAACAGGTGAGATTCCACTCGCTTTAAGTAGTATATTTTGGACATACGAAGCATATCGGTAACGATCAATGCAAATGGTAAGTACCGGCAGGTAAGATACTTTAGTTTGGGTATTCGCCATGGAGCGTCCAGTATGAACGCGGCCTTTGTATGTCACTTGTCAGGCTCTATGTGCTGTCATGATGTTGGCTGGATGAAAACCTACATCTTTATCGAGGGTGAGAGCAAAGTCGTAAACCTAATAGCGAAATACAACTTCCTTGGTCGACTTGACAGGTTACCACCTGAGTTGGTACTTACCCAAAGACATGCTATAGCGACTGAGACGAAAGGTCAGCACAAACGCTGCTGCATAACAACTGTTGGTAGCACGCACTGAAAGCATACTATATAGCGTACAGTTTGTTGAATGTTATGCTACTGATTCTGATTCATCACTCACATTGGCGTGCTTGTAGTGTGATGCCAATATTGATATCAGCTTGGTCAAACAACGGGACCATGATCGCAGACGACTGACCGGGTTCTATTGCAGTGATGCATTATATGGCCCAGTCTAAGAAGCCACGTGCTGGTCTTGGTGATCTAATATGATCCGTTACTCCAGGCTTACTAGTACTGCTTAGGTGGCATGCGGTTGAAAGGGTTCTATATTTACAGTGTGTTGCAACATGAAACTGCAGTACGAGTTTTTGAAAAACTCGGCCCCGCTGCCTTTACCAGGACTTTTCATATGCAAACACACTGTATGCAGCAACCTCGATGGGATGCAAGGTGCTGGTCAGTCTCCTTTAAGCAATCTGGACTGTAGGTCTTTTGAAAACGCAGTATTGTGTCTACACAAGATCTGACAGCGCCTTATCAGTGGTCGGAGTCCGGGCATATTTGCAATCCGTCAAATGCCAAGCCTAAGCCATTATTTAACATCCTTCACACAGCAAGTGGCTAATGGGACAAGTTATCGAAATCTTGATTGGTCGCCTGCAAATATTTATTCTGTCAGATCGTCGGCTGGAACGTAGCAACGACATACTAGTAGAGCCGGCAAATGGACTTGTCCCGAAATCTTACACAGTTTCAATAGTATCAATACGTAGCAATGTCTATTACTTCTGCGAAGTAGGGAAAACCTAGACCAATTACTGTGGAATCGGCAAAATATTTTCGTTCCTCGTGCGAGACTTATGATAGGCTGATTACTCGATAATTGCAAGGGTGCGCAGGTTGAGGATAATAATTGCCCCAGGCGTGCCAATAAGGCACACATCTTCAAAGTGAAAAGGTCAGGCGCATACAAGAAGTGTTCTCCCGACGTCCATGTTAGGACACTAACATAACCAGATGATAGCTAATGTTGTCTGGATCACCGTGACATAGTGATGTGGGCCAGCTTTTGATGTAGATATTCGAGGGAGGTGGTTCTGCTTTATGGACTGGGACGGATACTTGCATACTATTTGTTTGTGTTGACCAGTATGTACCAATTTGTTTACGTCGACCGTCAATGGAGCAATTGATTGAGATTCTGTGTTGTGCTCTGCCATTCTGCCATCAGTGAACTGATGAACAAATTCAAATATCATAGTTAATTACAGACTCCAACCCAGTCACCCTGTGGGTGTTGACTTCGTTTCCTTTCTTACATTATCTTGTTATCTTGATCACCATCAGCACCATACTGCCCGGTACTTCTTGACTTCTGCACCATACGGTACTTCCGCTCGTCGATCCTCCGGTGTTATATTACCTAAGCATCCTCATTAGTACTTACGTCGTCCCGTCTCTCGTCGACACCTCAGTTTTGTTCTCTAACATTACTGAGGTGTGTAGTATGTTTGTACCTCACATATTCACTTACTGATGTAACCTAGCTCTCGCTTCGCTAGGTACTTTGTCAATACAGTTTTGTTCTCTAACATTACTGAGCTCTCGCTTCGCTAGTTCTACTAGCGTGTATAGTGGGTAGTGCTGGGGGCAGAATTATTGCAGGCAGTTGTGCCAGCATAACTGGCAGAAGTGGCAGAATTATCAAGGCACTACAGGCTCTGTGTACAACAATGTATCACTAGGAAACACCATTACAAGACATCAGCATGTCCACATCCCACTGTCCGTCGTTGTGTGAGGTGTGATCAACTACAATGACCTCGTCATCAACAGATTTTGGTAGAAGATCTCAATCAACATGCTCCAATTCTGCAAAATCATAAACTTGGCCTTCCAACACTTCGTTTCAGGCTATAGTGTCATTATTATGGATAACTAAGTCTCATTAGAGACAGCTGGTTATCCTTCCTTGTCACGGACTGCTGATGCTTTGACAGATTATCCATTACCGCTCCCACTGATGGATGATTTGCCAGACAGCTCAATTTGGTGCGTTTCTGCTCATTCTGGGGCCGTCTGTGATGGATAATTATTGATAATGGGTTGGATGATACTTTTTGGTGTGTTCCTACCCTTTCCAAGCTGCATTAACCGTCTTGCTTCAGCTTCGAATTTATCCCGCTGTGAAAAACACAACCTGACTAGGCACTTGTTAAGGTACTCAGCCAGTATATGTCTAATGCTCTGCCTATGCTGCTATACTTGCAACAAAGATGCAAGAACGTTTGACCCAAGGGAAAAGCTACTAAGAACAACTTAAGATCAAAAGACCTGAAAGAGCGCTAAAGCGCGGGAATAGCGCGTCGCAAGATAGAGCGCTAATGCGTGGGAAAGAGCGGAAGTCAAGAAAGCGGACACTGAGTCAAAGGAAGGTAATGGATAGCGAGTGAGATCAAGGGTATTGATTGCAAGGGTAAGGAAAGTCAAATAGGGGCCATAGAGCGCAACTAAAGGGGTGACTACTTCTAAGTAAAACCTAAGGGAAGGAAATACAGTCAAAGGGAAGTAATGTTGAAGTAGTCACCATAGGCTTCTTATACTAGTAAACTATACCATCTCGGACTCAGAAGGGATAGGATATACATGTAATAAGACTGTAGTACTTTTTACAAACTCGAGGCAAGGCAAATTACATACCAATGAGGTAGGATGGACCATGGATGGATTCTGACATTTCGGGTGATTCCTAGAGCGCGAGAACAGCGCGCTGGACTAGCGCTAGGCGCAGGAACAAGCACTAGATAGAGCGGACAAGCGCTAGGTAGAGTGGACATGCACTAATGCTCCTATAGGCACATTGCTGGTAGTTCTGATAGCGCTATACAGGCGATAATGCCATTATAATGTATTATATTGCTGTCATGGTAGAAGGGAGGTGATATATCCTGGTCTATGACACCGTGTGTGGGAAGATGATACATCCATCATAGCACTGTGATATAACACTGATACATCAATCATAGCGCTGTAATATAACACCTACTTACTGAGGACTCGGATATACCAGCCGTAGAGCCATGATATATCAATGATATATGATTTATTCCCCCGGTTGCAGTACTTGTATTATTATATTTTAATGATATATCAACCAAACCAACCAATGTGATACTGTCACATGACTGGGAAAACGTGGCACTTTTTCCTCGACTTACGTAATCTGTCGAGGAAAAAGTGCCACAGTTTTCCGGTCAGGTGACATTGTTGCAAGTCAGGTGAAAAAGCAGAGCGAGCATGTGACCGAGCTTCTTTAGTAGATTCCCCTGGCTGCAGTACTTGTATATTTTCATGATATATCATATGATATTCCCCCGGCTGCAGTACTTGTATACCTTAACGATATATCACCTACCTTGATGCGTCAGTAGTAGAATATGATATATCATGTATGTTCAGTATGCGTGCAATACCTAGTATATGATATATCATACTATGTTCCGCCTGGCAGCTGCCGGAAATTTGTGCTTATACATGTGGCTGTGCAGCGCTGATGCTCTTGCTCTTTAATTTGTTGTGTAAGTACTAGTAACCGCCAGTGGCAGCTCCTCCTGGCTATATGTTGAACATTTGCCAATTCAGTCTGACATCGAACATCAACTGCACCATGTTAATGTCTTCGTGTGTCCAGCCTTGCAACAAACCAATGACTTCCAGTGAGTCTGTAGGGGCGAATAACAATTTGTATATTGTTTAGGTAGCTACATTAAAAACACGACGGACTGCAATATATCTACTTGCGAGACTTTTTCTTTGGGCCCTCACTACTGCGCTGGACCTCGCTCTGCTTCCTCTTTGGTGCGGGTTTTGTTCCTTCCTTGTGACCAATTTTGTTGGCTTCGGCTGCTCGTGTAGAAGGACATGGTGCGCGCCTGGTGCGTCTGTTGGAGGCAGTGGGGGCAACAGGTAACGAGGACACTGTCTCCATCTCCAAATCAGGTTGGGGAGTTTCACCAGCCAAGACTCCCCCGATGTCACAAGGTGTCAGCTGCCGAGAAGCTGCCGAAGACCCCCGGTCAATGGATGACGTTGCCCCTGCCTCCAAATTAGTATGAGGGAAAACTGCTCCAATGTTGTGAGGTGTCGGTTGGTGAGGTGTCGGCGGGAATTGACGATCTCCTCCAATGTCACGAAATGTCAGTTGGTGAGGAGCTGGTGGGAATTGGTGCTCTCTTTCGACGTTGTGAGGTATCGGTTGGTGAGAAGCCGGCGAAAATTGGTATTCTCCTTCAACAGCGTGAGATGTTGGTTGATGAGGAGCTGATGGGGGTTGGTGTGTGGTGGACTTGGAATACATTGACTCGGGCGGTGTGGATGTAGGCAGGAGTGACTCTGTGATACTCGCTAGCAAAGACAATGGAATTTGGGGGTCTGGACGTGCATGCGGCCCCAAATTGAACATCGGTTGGTTGAACGGCAATGAATTTCCATGCGGTTCCATGGATAGTCCATTGGCCTCCTCAAGCGCAGAAAATCTATTCATTTTCTCGGCCAAGAGCGAAGCAGGCTGGGGCAAGACGGTGGTGTCAAACGACGACGACGGATGAAGTATGTAAGGAGGGATAGCCTCGACTGATGGATCAGCTGCTCTGACACCTGGCCATTGAGTGCGATTAAAGGTGGGGGATGTGGTTAGCGGGTCTTCATTGAGCGCTGTTGACTTTCTCCAAGCGGTGATTGGAGTGTCTGTCGTGTTGTGAGGAGATGTGATGGGGTTTGGGTCACTACTACTAGTGCGCATCAACCATTCACCATGTCCATTCGTTCCTGCAAGTGCATTGAAGTCCAGAGAGGGATCAAGCACAGAAGGATGGTGATCTCTGAGTGAGGACTCGTCCAAAGCCTCATCCAGTGAGATCAGGCCAGGTGGAAGGTGAGGTGAGGTTGGGGTGGATGAGGGAGCCGCCGGCAGCTTTGAAGATGCGCCTATGATAAATTTTCATTAATCATGATTTTGAGTTGCATAGCCAGGAATTTCACTTACCATAGACGCGCCCAAGGTGTCGTTCGAAGGGTAACAAATACTGGTCATGGAAGTTCGGCGTGCATGCCTTGAAGCTCAGACCATCTGCAGTTTTACCGTGGTGGTAGCTACTGATGAATCAACACGTGTGATTGGCACAACAAACAGCAAATAACACACCTTAACTGTCATAATGTCGCCTTCACACATTGGGTCGACTCCACCCATGACAAGGGTGTAGTGCCATCCGCCCGTCAATATTGAGAGGTCCTCGAATATTTGACCTAGAAGGATTGGTAGCTCTTGAATTGCACTTTAAATTGTAAGTGATTAGCTCTATTTTTAATCAAGTCCAATCAATGTATCACTTACTGATAAACTTCTTCTTTCGTTCTCGAATCCTGTCCCACAACATCTCCCAATCTTCTGGCAGCATTAAGACGTGCAGTCTCCTCCCGAATTTCTTTTTTGACTTCTTCCGACTCATCCGCAAAGCAATCGGTGGTGTGCTGCCGGACTGCACTAAGCCTTTGTGCAGGTTGTACGGGATTATTTTTAAGTGCGTCAGACACCAATGGTTTAACTTTCGACTCATAGTGAAGTTTAGAATACACTTCAACCTCTTTGAGGTCTCGAGTGCCTCTTGCACGCTGACCAAGTAGTGCAGATAGGGCTTTACCGGTTGAGCTACTGCCAGGTGTAGTTTTTCCCTTTGAATTATTCCGAAACCATTCCCGCAATTGCTAACCAAGAAAAATGATTACATTTTATAAATAGGACAATGTGAACACCACGTACTTTACGGCGTTCTCCTGCTTGCATCGGTCGTGAATTTGACTCACTCTCTTCTTGTTCGGCGGATTCAGATATGTTTGTAAGATCCGGCTGGACTGTTTCGTTCATAGAGTCAATAGTAGCTCCACCACATTCATCAATACCAGTGTTCTCAACACAAGGTGCGCTGCTGTTTAGCTCTACCTCTTCTGGAAAGTCATTGAACCACTTTGGAAACAGCGCCTCGAAAAATCTTGATAATTTCTTCTCTTTTTGCATCTGCAGGTAGTTGGGCAGCTCATTCTGCAGCCAGAGTAACTGGTCTGCGCTCGTCCACCTGGGAGGCGCCATCTGTATGTTGGGTGAGTATCAATCATTTGTATCTTGTATCTCACTCACTGACGATTTTTTTTTTGGTTCTGTATACAGGTGCAATAATGAACCAAACCGTCACTCGGGTCCTTACTCAACAACGAATTTTTTTCATCTTTGATGACTCAGGTTATATTTTACCAACCAAGCAATACCAATCATTGAGTGAGTCGTACAAATACTGTATTTGTTCGCACAGGAACTGATATCCTGATTATCCCTACACATACCGTCTCTCCTTGAAATGAATAACAGTCACTCCAACATTAGATGCCCCCACAGTCGACCTGTGCAAATGCTCCGCCACCCATGCTTCACAATGGAGCAATTCATTGAGGCTATTCACTTGGTGCAGAACGGTCACTGGTAAGTCTTCATTATGATATTCTTGAAGCATTTTCTCATGATCACGATCTACACAGTTCCCCCGTCATCTCCTCAACCATACGCATGGCCTTACCGACCTGAAGACCAGGTGTGTCCAGTCCATTCGCAAAGGGGTACGTTGAACCCGCCTTCATTTTTCTTTCATTTTACTCATAACTACACAGTTTTGGATAGCCCAGATGACAACTCCGCAGACATCGAGGACAATACCTTAGACGTTGAGGAGAATTCCTCAGACGTGAGGAGAATTCCTCAGACGTCTCTATTGGCGATCTTTGGATTGGCTCTGAGATGGTCCTTGCCGACAATGATTTTGAGTCCTCCTCTTCCAATGAGGGGGATAATGAAGCGGAGTCTGACACCAGCGCTGACACACTTGTTGACCTTGACCCTGCTCGCCATTTCAATTGGTTCGTAACCACCAGCATTGTTGGTGTAGGACTCTTTAGCGAAATGTAGGCATTTTTTTAAATTGATTCCGGTCCATAACACATCTAACTATACATAGAACTACTGCTCGGATGCTTCGTGCCCCAGGAACAACGGTCCATTACTTCGCCACCCTCCATGAAGCCATGCTGCATTTCCGTCTTGCTTTGGCAATGTGGAATGGCGAGACCGTCTAATGTAAATGGACTTGTTTTTGTCGCTACATACTTAAAATATTGTGGGGTATCCCCTGGGCCAATGAACAATCTATGTGCTCCATTACCTGATGGATATATGTGTCTGACAAAATATTGTGGGGTATCCCTAATGAACGATCTGTGTTTGTTTGATTGGGACATGCCCTATGACCTAGGCCTCAAAATAAGCTTTTCGCTTGAGTTGCACATCCTTCAGGGAAACGTAATTCAACTCTAATGAATTACGTGTCCCTGATGTGCGCAATGATGATATATCATGCTGTCAAGCGTACAGCTCAAACACATTCTGCAGTTGTGTCTGGTGAATATCTACTGCAATGGTTTGCTTTATATTTGCCTGTTTATCGACTTTGTGCAGTGAGACTAACATATAACACGCAGTGCAGAATTTAAATCAATTTATTTGGATTGAGTGTTGCCTATGTACATGCACATTTCATCTGTCCCGAAGTGTGCCTCCATAACACCAAACTGTATAGTGAGTTGTTGTGTACTAATACTAGTACAGTACTAGACTATACTAATCTTCAACATCGCTATCACAATGGCACCAAGATACACAACTGCAGAAGAACGCCGCAGAGCTCGATTGCAAAGCAAACGAGCACATTATCAACGGTCAAATTTCATCACTCTTCGTCTATCATCATACTCAAATAAATTTTATTCATCTTCCTGTAGAAATAAGACTATAGAACAGGCAAAGTCTCGAACGCGTTGGCGAACACGTTCAACTCATTTCAATGATGTACGTATTCCCTCGATATACACTATGGACATTTGATCTACCATACACTTTTAAACAGGACGTTGTCATATTGTTTTCCACCTTGGACCGATTGAGCGACGAGCTTGGGTACAAGTCCGGTGTTCCTGAGGCGCACACCATGCAATCTCGTGTTATTGCTGTGCTTCAGAGAGTAGAAGTTGAAGGTTGGACTCTGCTGCGCCCTGAGTTGGAGGATTCCTTGATCATAGTACTGGATTTGCATGAGCGTGCTACCAAATTACATGAAGCGGTGCAACAACTCAGATGCATGTCTGGAACTGGATATCGCCTCTTATTGAAACAGAGTCAGGAACTAATTGATCTGGTGGGGAGACGGCTTACAGTAGAAAGGGAAATAATATCAGTAATAGATGACGGGGGTGTTGAAGCTTACGATGAGGCGATGTTTACTGACTCGCTCAGTTGGCAGACAATTTGATATATCAGGCAGTTCTTAGAAATTTAGAATAACATTAATGATCACGCGACTGAATTGTTGACTCACTAACACTGTATCCAATGGTCGGAGGTCAGAAACGGCGAGGCCTGAAGCAGTACCAGCGCGACTTCTATGCACACAATGCTGCTGCTTCAAAAGCAGTGATTAACGATACAAATGACGCACCTCAGCACACTCGCAATGTTCAACAACGCAAGCACAGCAGTTTCGAAATAGGACCACGTGGACGTCTAAATATCTCTTCATCCTACTACACAGTTCCTAGTTCTCCAGGGAAACATCGTCGTGGAGAATCAGATGTCCCATTAGACATCACAGAGCTCAACTTTTCAATTATTGACGACTTTTCTGATAACTTTCAAGTTCAGAGCGACACTCCGGAGCTCGTGGAATTCACCAAACCAAAATGTACTGGAGGTGAGGTCTTGCGCTTATGGCAATCAGATGCCGACTTGTTTTTGGAGGAATTCCTCCGCCTGGAGGGTCGAGGTGACTATTCACAAGACATTTGTGTTTGTGGTAAGGAAGCTGCAACATATCGTTGTCAAGATTGTCATGGTTGCGAATTGTTTTGTCGTTTGTGCATGATCCGCACACATGAGAGACATCCGCTTCATAGAATAGAGGTATGTGTGTATATACCTTACATACCTTACATTGACTGACTCTTTTGCACTTTCAACTTAGCGATGGGATGGTATCTCATTTTACAGTGTTACCTTGAAGTCCATGGGGATCCGTTTACAACTTGGACATGCTTCTGGTGTTCGGTGCATCAGCCCACTCTCTGCTCACAACGACGACTTTGTTGTAATCGACTACAACGGCATCTATGAAGTAGGGTTAGATTTCTGTGGATGTGCTCATGCCGAACCGCACATCATTCAGCTTCTTCGTGTTCGCCTCTTTCCTGCTACCACAGTTGATCCAAAAACAGCTGCAACATTTCAGGCACTGGAATACTTTCAGATGCTGTCTTTCGAGTCCAAAGTCTCTGCGTTTGAATTCTACAAAACAGCTGCTCGTTTGACGGATAATACTGGAATTCATATACCAAAGGTACGTGCTAATTCTATTTTTATTTCAATTCATCCTAACACAATCTAGGATCGTTACGAGGCGTTGTTACGCATGGTGCGAGAGTGGCGCTTCATCAAGCAGATGAAACGCGCTGGTCAAGGTCACCACCCTGACGGTATTGGTGCAACTAAACCAGGTGCCTGCGCCGTTCTTTGTCCCGCATGTCCCCACACAGGCAAAAACTTGCCAGATGGATGGGAAAATGCACCATCCGAAATACGGTATGTATAATGTCACCTTTCCCCCGACTTTTTCTCACACAGTCCCAGATTTCTATATGCCTTATTCCTTGCCATTGATGCCAATTTTCGTCTGGCTCGCCGTAATGTCTCTTCAGACATTGTCGATCCGGGTCTCAATCGTGGATATGCGTTTTTTGTGGAGGAACAGGCGTATAAAGGTTTCATTGGCTCACACAAGCGAGTCGTCCAGGAGGTAAGTTCAACTTCTATTTGTTGTAAGCACTAAGTATAACTCTCTATAGTTGAGTTCATGCTCCAGTCACAATGCCGTCAACCTTGCAGATTCGAGAGTCTCACGTGGCCTTGCAGCCACTGGCGCCGGTACTATCGATTGCGCAAGACACAATTTCAAACGGCCCTGCTCAGTCGGCGACTTGCAGAAGGGCGAAAGGTGCGCAACATTCCACGTTCTTGCTGGATTGCTAACTACAGAACTTAAAGGTACCTTAACATGGATTATTTATTCTTCTCGAGCATGCAGTCTTCATCGGAGATATCAGTATTGAACATTTCTTACGATATTGCTTGTCAGTGGAGCAAACATCTCTGGGCACGAATGTCCGCCTTCCCACACGAGTACCACATCAAGCACGACCAAAAATCAATCACCTTTCTCGTACCAAAATTCCACCTGCCGGCCCATGTGGCCAAATGCCAGTCAAACTTTTCCTTCAATTTCATCAAGGGCGTTGGTCACACAGACGGTGAAGCTCCTGAGCGTGGGTGGGCAGACATAAACCCCATTGCGACAAGCACACGTGAAATGGGTCCTGGTTCGAGGCGCGACACCTTAGATGACCACTTCAACGACTGGAACTGGAAGAAGATCTGTGCAATGGGTAAGTTTTTAACCTCTCAACTGAACATCTGAATTTAAAGTATCACTGTCTCTTAGGTTTGATTTTCCGGCGAAAGTACAACTTCGCAATAATCGAGGTGCAAGAACGTGTCAACGATCTCATCGATTTGAAGCTTCCCTAGCCGCAGATGAGTTAGTTGAATGGAGGAAGGACATCGAAGCATGGGAGGCAGACCGTTCGCAACCAAACCCATTTGAAGGTAGAGCTATGACGAGTACGTGTATTTTATACTAACACATTTTGAGAAGCTGACAGCATTTTCAATAGCAATGACTCAGGCTGCCGTGCACCTAGCCTTATCGATGGCTGAGGCTGCAGAGATTGAGCGTGGCAACAACATGTCCCTACACGATGATATATCACCGTCGGTGTTGATTTCATCGGGATTAGAACTTGAAGACCAGCAGTTGAGTGTTTATTTCTGGATGTATTGAATCACACACTGACTGTATTCTAGGCGCCGTCTTGGCTTTGATGCCAAGGCAATTGGACAACACGCTACAGATGTCCAGAAGGGCAAGATCTTACAGTGCATGAATACTCTTCGCCGACGCATTGACACCTGGGCCCGGGTGCAGTTGTTGTATATGCCTAGTGTCTCCCGCCTGCGGTCACCAGATGACATTGCCACTGAAACAAAGGCCCACAACATCAGCCTTTTTCTGCCATCCTCTCTACCCCACCAAGTGCCATGTGACGACCGCTTGCTCAGATACGAGTGGGAATTGCGTGAAGCTCAGGCATATGACACGCTGAATGACCTCCGCGCTGTGATTAACCTCCGATACCACCTTTACAAGTATAAGGACACATTTGTTCGGGGACAGCGAGCAAATACCCGAGCAAATGGAATCATCAACAATGCTGAACATCGCATTGACACCTTATCACTCAAGTACTCCACTGCTAGAGATGCACTCGTCAATCTGGCGGTAAGGCTGGGTAAGACGGATGACTGGGAGAGGAGCCTCAAGCCACTCGACAAGCAAAGGGATGCTGTACCACTCAAACACGACGATGGCCGAACAGTAGGGCAACAAAGTATATCGTGGATCTGGAAGACTTCGGGCTTCAACAGCAATGAGCTAGGGCTACAGGACTGTAAGTAGGCGCTAACGACTGGTGTTTCTTGCTGACCTGGCCATTTTATAGCGCTACGTGTTGAATGGTGTAAGGCGCGAGCACGAGCTCATCGTTGGGAGGAAGAAGTGCAACTACTACGGGAGGAAATGCGCCGCATTGTTGCATTTCTTGACTGGCAGGCAGGCTGGTGGGACATGCAAGGTCCACGGCGTGCTTTTAACTCACTGCAGGCTGGAGAGGGTGCCCTTGCCTATGCGCAGCGCCAGGCTAATCTACGTCGACAGATGGTCAACCACATCAAATCAATGTGGGCAGCCAATCCTTCATGGCAAGAAGCGGTCCATCTTCGTTCTGAGTTGCCAATGCCGAACCCCGACCCCCCTGCTGTTCACTTGATTTGAGCTTGTAATAGAGAGGATGACGAAGGAAACTATTTAATCTACCATATTTCTGTGTTTACAAGTGGTGAGCGCCGTGCCTAACGGACGGGCTGCAATAAGAGAACTATGATGTCATTTGAATAATTTGATCCTGGCTCATCATTGGTGGAAACCGAGTCCCGAAGGTGATATATCATGAAATGCCTGAAAGTGATTTATCACACAAGGTGATACAAAGGTGATGTATCACAAAAAGCTTTAAAGTGATGTATCATGCGAGGCTTTAAAGTGATGTTACTGATGTATCACGCAAGGCTTTAAAGTGATATATCACGCGAGGGTAACACGACTGAAAGTGATATATCATGCAAACCTGAAGGGCTTTGAAGGTGATATATCACACGAACCTCAAACACGACCAAAAATGATATATCACACAAGCCTCAAACATAACTGAAAGTGATATATCACGCGAGCCTCAAGGGCTTTGAAGGTGATATATCACGCGTGCCTCAAACACGACTGAAAGTGATATATCATGTGAGCCTCAAACACAACTGAGAGTGATATATCACGTGAGCCTCAAGGGCTTTGAAGGTGATACATCACAGGACAGGCAGTGGGAAAGGTGAGGGAGGTGATACATCATGGTATATGGACCACAGGCTCTGATATAACATCAGCCTTCTACAATACTAGACATTGATGTATTATACCTACAGGATTTTGTGGGATAGCTACATTTAGTGACAAGTTTGAGCCGACTCAATCTACCTGGCAAGGAGTGATTTATCATGGTCATTTTCCGTTGTACTTTCACTGGAGGATTTATAATATATCTTCCACCTTTCCGTCTGCAACTTCTACCATTCTATTCAGATATCTAGTCGATGATTATGTTTGGGCAATATATCACTAAATATGAGGTCGTACCGACCCAGAGTCCCAAAATAACCCAAGCTCAAGACCTGGCATTAACTCCGTCAAAATCATTCTCTCTTACTACCAATTCCTCTTCATGACATCGGTGGTGGCTGTCTACAAGGGCAAACCAAACTGTGGACGAAGCCCTACTTCAAGCCCAAGCCCCAAGCCCCACGAGTGATGCCAGAGTGAGCGATACTTCCATGTTCTTATTCTGATCCCAAGCACAGGGGTCACGGGCAACCCAATCCGAGCTGAGCATAGACGCTGCATAGTCATCAGACCAACGTTTATATCAAACCTAGAATCAGCGATTAGTACTCAGAGTCGGCCGCGCTGGAATTGAGAGCCCATTTTATACGCGCGTTAACCAGGGCTCAGCGCTCACTAGCACCTGAAGGATCGATTTGCAACATCCTGTTTGGCCCATGCATAAAGCGATTAGATGATGTACAATGCGGCAATTATGATCAAAAATGACGTAGGACTACAGGTGCACACCGCTCTCTTGTTCATCCTCCTCAGTCGAATTCGATGGCCCAAGACCCGAGTTGTCTCCCGGAAGAGGCGCGTCCAACGGCTCGAGTCCATTATCACTAGTAAATCCACTATGCCTACCATTTCTGTTTTCTGGTTCCGGCTCAGGAGGAAGGTCATAATGAGCGCTAGTGGCATTCGACGCTCCGCGCTGAGTGAGCGCCAACTTGAGCATGAATATTCGCTCATCTTGCGATGCTCTGTGCGTGTGTATGCCCCGATCTTAATAAGCGCAGTAAAGTCACATGGACTGCCTTGTACTGACAACGTCTGGTTGTTTTCTTTTATTGCTTGTGCGATGTCTGGGTCCTCTGCATATTCCTTGAGTTCTTCTTGCGTGCGTTTTAGATGGGAGATAGAGTTTTGAAGACGACTGATCTCTGATGTTTAATGTTGGATGAGCTTGGATATAAGCTTTTGATATTCTGACAACATACCATCGGCAGAAAACTTCGGGGTCAAAGGAGATAGCTTGCTGAAACGTGAATGGTTGGGGGTGACATGGAGTAAAATCCATTGTGCTCCTTGGTGTGAGGTAGGTCCTGGTCCCTGATCATGAACGAATTGCTGATCATTGGTGTTCGGGCCGTCCGGCCCTGACATATGGGGTAATTCCGACAAATTTATCCGATGCCCGCTCGACATGAATTGCGACTACTATGAGCTATGAGTCTATGACTCAGTCTATGGCCCGACCGCATTTGTTTGACGATACAGCTCACTCTATGAAATTTCCTGGCTAAGAACACGTACCCCGTGTTCTTGTCACCGCTCTTCAACAAAATCCTTTCGCTGTAGTCCAAACGACTAAACGCACCACTACCGTGACTTTAATGTTCATCACAATCTTCGTCGACACAGCTAGACGGTAAACTGCAGCTATTCACTGTGCTATCCAGCTGGGAGTACGCATATATTTTACGAGCTCGGATGCACAGAAAGTCTGTACGAATCTATAGCTTATCCAAACTACTTTTCTTTTACACATGCTTTCGCTCCCCGGTGACCGCTGGTAATAGCATGGTTCCTAGTGCATGACTGACATTGACAAATATTGTCCCACTGATGCTAGTTGGTGATCTAGCACTGGGTTTGATCAAACTAACATCTATCATGCCGAACTGCCCTCAACCACATGGAAATGCACGTGCATGCATGGCCTGAATCCTCAACCTCTCCCTCACTCCTCTCACCTGAACTCCATCCACCACCAGTCAGCCTGCATCCTTTCTTCTCCTTATCATTATGCGCCATTCCACCATCATGCCCGGTAGCTGGGAAGGCCAATATATCAGACTTGAACGTGAGTCCCGTATCACCTTTGTACTTCGTTTTATGCCTCATCCTCGCGTCATATCTACAGTCATCAGGGTAAACAATCTTCCACTCCCTTCCAGGCGCATACACACAGGCTTTTACGTCTCCATTCATGTCGATTCGAGGTACTGGAGATCACCCGTCCGAGTAGTATCATCTTACAAGTCCGATGTGTTGGGCGATATCGTGATTTTGTAAGGCCTATAGTGACTTTCAGATGGGATTCGAGGACTGACCATCCGATTATAGATCATTACACGAGGTATGTGAATTATTGGTGGAGATCAGGGTATCCTATGAGTTTGGTCGAATGCTAGGCGATAGGGAAGTTGTTGCAAAATTCGAAACGTCGTGGGATAAGCTACTCGATCGCGGAGATGAGCCTTTCGGTGAGCAACCTCCTTCTCACTTATACACACACGCAGGCCAACATCTCGTAGACATCTCCTTCCCGCCCCATTGTGGCGATCACTCTTCCCTCACTCTGAAGGCCGCTATTCTACATCCTTGCGACAATCAGTATAGCACACTGCTTGACGTGGGTGACATCGGCCTCTGTCGTTGGCTTTTGTTGACGGAACGCCTGCTGTAGTCAATCGTTGAATGTGAGATTGCTCGAGACACAGATGCGGGCCATGAACAACTTGCCACATACGTGATAAGCAAGACGGTCTATCACCTGAACAATGCTGTACAGCATTTTCAGTTGGTCATGGACAGTCTTCTTGACCCGGCGGCGGCTCTCACCAACTTCGCGTGGGTCCACCTCAAAGGCTACATTCCAAACGATCTTCAAGATATTATCTCTTTCACTTCTCTGTTCTGCCAAGTTCTTGCATTGCATCTGCAGGGCTATCCCGATCACCCATTATCTATCCATCACTTCCTTATAGCGTTGATCTGCAAGCTATTGCCCCTCTGTCCAGAAGGCACCTACCTTCGTAGCATCGCGGCGGGGGTATGTAGCGTTGATTATGTGATTCGCGCATGCAACAGTCTTCCAATAGACGCATCCGATGAAGGCATCCACCTTCGACGAATAGTGCTTGAGATCTGTCCTCTGGGCAACGACCACCGTCCAAAAGCACTCGGCAACCTTGCACAGGCTCTCGGATCACGTTTTGAACAATGCGGTAGCATCGATGATCTAGACGAGTGCATACGTCGTCGTCGTGAAGCCGTTTCTCTGTGCTGCGAGGGACATTCTGAACGCCATACCTATCTAGATAACTTGGCCTTGTCACTCACATCCCGCTTCGATTACCAAGGCAACTCTCGTGACCTCAACGAGGCCATCTCTTTGCATGAAGAAACACTGCGCCTGCGTCCTGTTGGGCACGAATATCGTGACTTTTCATTGGACAACCTAGGAATTGCCCTCTGCACCCGTGTCATCCAACGTGATAATGTTAACGATATCATCAGAGCCATCAGCCTCCAGCGCGAGGCACTGACGTTGCGCCCGCCTGGGAATCCATATCGTGGTTACACGCTTAACAACCTTGCTGGCGTGCTCGCAACTAGATATGAGAAATCAGATGCCAGCGAAGATCTCAACGAGGCCATTGACCTGTACCGGGATTCACTTCAGTTACAGCAGTATGGCCATTCCAATCGCCCTACAGCTCTTCGCAATTTGAGCTTGGTGCTCTGTTCTCGTTTCACGCAAACCCAGAAGCATGAAGATATCAAGGAGGCCATTCGACTTTGCCAAGAATCATTTGCGTCTCTACCGCAACTCCATCCCAACAGGTACTACTCCTATTCCACGCTACGGGCGGCCTATATGTCTCGTTACGAAATTCAGCACCACCCTACTGATTTGTCACTTGCAGTGGAGAACTTCAGACTCGCATCGCGACACCCCACCCATGGCTTCCCAAGCCGCATAATTGAGGCATATAATTGGACTGTTGCAGGGGAGCAGCATGGTCATGGATCCACACTGGAGGCTTACTCAACATTTTTCGAGCTTCTGGACGATCATTTGGCGACACGGTCATCGACACTTTCACGGCGCGAAGCTGCTGCTGTCTTCCATTACGCTAGATCACTGCCTGTAGATGCGGCATCATGTGTCATCCGGAGTGACAATCTACGACACGCAGTCGAACTCGTGGAGCAGGGTCGTGGTCAACAGTGGTCGCTGGCCTCACGGCTCAGAACTCCGTTGGAAGATCTCGAGTCCATGAATCCCAACATAGCTCACAAGTTCTCGGAGCTCAGCAGGCATCTGGCTGACGCACAGGGTTGCGCTGACAGTGTTGATCGAGCTGCTACTGATCGGGCAGCAGTAGAGTACAGGAGGATTATGACGCAATGGGAAGCTGCGGTAGCTGAAATCCATAATCTTCCGAGGTTTCTCGCGGTACCTACTCCCACCTTCATACGAAGACTTGCAAGCGGCAGCGCGTCATGGCCCAGTTATCATCCTCATTGCCAGCAAATACTCTTGTAGCGCCCTCATTGTCCCGACGTCAGGAGAGCCCCATCATGTTTCTTTGCCGTCTATCACTCTCACAGATCTAAATATTCTCAAGGATCGCTTCGCCAGGGCAATACGACTCGCATCTCGGATGGACCCAGCGAAGCCGAGGACGGATCTAATAGTACTCTTGCGGATAGTATGGGACCAGATCATGCTACCCATCGTCAACGTACTCGAGAACGTCCTTAAGCTAAAGCGCCGCTCTCGCATCTGGCTGTGTCCAACTGCAGCTTTCACGTCTATTCCCCTCCATGCAGCTCACCCCTTTCAAACAAAGGCAGATGGCTCTGGGAAGGAGCCATGCCTGGAGGATCTCTACATCTGTTCTTACACGCCGAAACTTTCGGCTCTGATCAGATCTAGACAGATGATGAAGCAACGTGTGCCTCCGTCCTTCGTGGCGATCGGACAAGGTCAGCCGGGTGCGGGGAAAGGCAAAGCACTCTTGGCTGTCGACAGCGAGCTCGAATTTGTCCGTAAGCTCGTCCCTGCGACGGCAAACGGCACCACTATTTCTGGCGACGTAGCCACACGATGGGATGCACTCGAAGCTTTGCAGCTGAACACATGGGTGCACCTTGCTTGTCATGGCAAGCAGGACCCTGCGCAGCCTTACAATTCCCATTTTGTTATGAGAGACCAACCTCTGACATTGCTTGATATTATGGACAGAGACATTCCGTACGCCGAGTTCGCATTCTTATCCGCTTGTCATACCGCTGTCGGCGATAAGGAGACACCCGACGAGGTCATTCACCTAGCAGCTGGTCTCCAGTTTTCGGGGTTCAAGAGCGTCATTGGCACGCTATGGGAGGTCGACGATGCTGTCGCAAAACACGTTGTCAAAGCATTCTACGAGAATTTGTTCGGCGATTTGGAGGACGGTGGTGTCATGGACTGTACGAAAGCGGCCTGGGCACTCAACCGTGCTACCCACGCCGTGAAGACGAAAGTGCCGCTTGAACAGAGGATGGTCTTCATTCACATTGGTGTGTAGTTCAACGTTGCATTGCTTTGGTCTGGTACCGTTCAACGGGTTGTTTATATTGCTAGTACCTTAAGCATGTTGTAGGAATTGCCGATTCACCCTGTTACGGTTGTCACGTACTCTTATGGTCCAGTTGTCTCGGTTTCGCGTTCGGTTTCGCACTGTTTTTGTCTACTCTAGAGTCTCCAGCAAAGTTATACATTGCTTGACGGCAACGTGTATATCTTGATGTTCGCAACATTGTCCCCCGGTACCTCACATTCATCCTCACGCCTCCAACTCCCTTTTCTGAGATTGTGATTTTCCTCCGTGACAGAAACCTTCGCCGGTGCATATCACTTGTCAGCTGCTTGACGCATCTTGTTGTTGCACGTGAAAAGCTGGATCAAGGTGGTGATTTTCCGCTGGAGAACCTGTCAGAGGGCTTCGACGGTATGACTTGCAGATTCAGAGTGAGTAATGATTTCTAGATCTACATGTATAAGTCCTACGCGGTCATGTTAAGTGCACTCGAAGCTTGCAATATTGAATACGTCGAGGGTTTGCTGGGATGGTCTGGCTCTTCTTTCTCTTCTTCGCCGTATTGGCCCGGGGGCCTCGGAATTCTTTCAAGGTTCCGAAGACGTTGTTGTCATTTATCATCCACCTCACCTATACCGGGTGCTGATGAAATAGTGTTGAGTATCATCCACGCCAATGCGTCTATGCACAGTGACAAAGGTCACGAGAGGCAATGGACATGTCTAGATTTTCTGGTGTTCAGCTATAGTCTTTAATAGAATAGAGAACGTACACCTAAGAGTCACTAACGATCACGCTCGCTGGTGTCACCGATGCGTAAAATCCGGGTGAGCATGCCAAAACGCCTCAGCCTAATGTGAGATGAAGTGGTGGAGGTGGAGGTGGAGGTGGAGGTGTGGAACTCATACTACGACCCAAGCAATGAGAGTCCTCCGGTTCAAACCGTGCCAAACCCTATCAATGTTAAACAAACTCGAAGACATACAAAAGAAACTACGCACAAATAATCATTTCTGGTTTGTGGGAGGGATAGGTAGAGCTGCCTGACTCATGGCTACATAAAATGCACGTTAAGTTTCTCGCAGTTTAAGACACGAGAAAGGAGATTTTTTGGCTGCATCTAATGCACATGCAGATCGTAACCGCTAGTTAGCGGAGTAACTAGAGCGGCGGTACACTGAGCTGAATCGATCTCAGCTTGGTTAGAGAATTCGAAGGTGAGAATGACATACTCTGAATGTGACGGTTCGGACTTGGTTGATTGCAGATAATGGTAAGTGATTTGCAAGAACGACAAAATATGTACTAAACAGGACCCTTTTTTCATTATGCGCAATGATGAGTCACAATCGTCCATCTATTCAATCGGTTTACCTACTAGAGACGAAGCGCACACGGGCAATTAACGTAAGGCCAGAAAACCGTAGATAGTGTAACAAGTAAAGAAAATCACTGTGAAGGTTCCCGCGGAGGTTTGCTGAGCGCATCCCAGCTCTCGGTATTTTTGAATGACTGTAAAAAACCATCAATATCTGATTCTGATTCCTCGGAATTGGTCGGCTTGTCTGCCCTTCTTGTCGATCGCAGTAGTTGTTTACGTCGATTGAAGGCGTGTGTGTCAAGCACATCGAAACAGTCTACAACGAACTCCCACATAAGTGGATTTTTGTGCAAGCGTGCGGGAACTTTTCTATGAGCCTGGAAAACAAATTTCTTCTCGCCACATGCCACGGCGTCTAAATTGGCCCATTCATCGAAGGGGCGCAATCCCCGCGGTAGAAGGACTCCCTCCTTGTAACGCAAGGAAATCCAGGCGAAGCACCACATAAACGACTCCAGATCATGACGATATAGGTGTTTGACTTCGCCTCGTTGACCCTCTTCGGTGAGAAGATCGAGCGCCATGAACGGCACCGTGCCTGTGCGCTCGTTGCCCTGAGGACCCTGGACATTCGCCAACGAGGATAAATCGTAGTCGTTTAGGACACCTATCCGCTTGCCGTCTTTCCAGTACCACATCAAGTTTCCAGGGCTGACATCTCGATGATAGACACCTTCCTTCCACAGAGTAAGGTGACCTGCACGCTATGTTAACAAAGAGCCTCATAAATTGAATGAAATACATACATAAGATACACTGACGCCATACGTCGAAAAGCACTCTGCCGTCAAGTTCCGTGATCGGGTGGAGCTTGGGGAATACGAGGATGTAGAGCACGCGACTGCCCTTGGTGGGTTCTGGAACGCCGAGCGCTTCTCGGATGGCGGACGTGGGATTCGTGAACGTGTGGTGCCAAAGCAGCTTAGGAATATGTCCTTGGACATTTGGGTGCACCTTAGCGATCTCCTCAACCTTGTCCAAGATTTCCGGCTCGCTAATGCGACTTGCCTCTCCCCAAAAGATCTTGGCCACCATCCCATCCTGGAAGTTGCCGTATTTCTTCGCGAGTGCTTCGCTAGTGACAGGGACCACATTGGTGGCCCGTCCTTGTAGTCCATAATGCGTCACTCTTTCATCGTGGCTAGTGTGAAGCAGGAGATCCACCTCTCCAAGTTCTACATCCTTAATTTTGAATTCGTGACATTGTTTCCCCTCAACTTGAACTGGGAGGAAGTCCTTGTTTCGGCCCCACTTATGAAGATCGAATCGTTGTAGAGCATACAACAGCACCATGAATCGCGGGAGATCTTGAATGAAGTTGATGCCTGAGCATTGAATGATCCCTTGCCGATCATAATACCAGATCCACATTACATCGTCTGAAAAAGTTTTGGTAAGAGCGCGACCAATCTTGGCAGACGAACGAACTCACCGATGACAATAATATTCAGCAGATAATTGACTCCAAGATTGGATGCAAACATTTCGGCGGCGTACAGACCCGTCTGGACGGTCACATCTAGATCGGCGTCCGTGTCGGGGTCCGTATCGTCGGGGTTCATCTTGGATTTTTTCGCGGCGGATTCTAAAGTGTCCGTAGCCTTGCGCTTGGAGCTGGACCCGCCACTGGAAGGCTGTGCTGCAGTAAGACCGGAAGATGGAACTGCAGCTCGGTCGATTTAATTTGATCTTGGTATAAAAGATGTAATCACTTACGTGCAGTGTCGGATGCAACTTGTGTTGCTGGGGTCTGCGAAGGGACTGCCGCCGGGTCTTCAGCCTTCAGATGATCCACCGGTAGATACTCTGGCTTGGTAGGTACATAATCTGTCACTGTATACGAGGGGGGCGGTGGGTTAATCCCTTTGGTCCTCCCTGGCGTCTTTCTCTTGAACTCGATGCAAGCTAGAATATCTTTCCAGGGGAGATTTTTCGGCTTTGCCGTTGCATTTGTGTTCATGTGAGCCTTGCGCTTCTTCTTGCGCTTCTGGTCGTCCTTCTGGTCGTCCTTCGCGTCGTCCTTCGCGTCGTCCTTCTGTTTGCCCTTCTTGCCGCCCTTCTCATCCTGGAAGGGAGCGCATGCACTGGTAAAAGGAAGAAAGACGAGGTCGGGCTTCCGAGTTGATTTCGCAGTCTGGTGGGTTTGGTGCATGGGCATATCGTTCTGCTGACAGATCATGTCCACGGTGGGGACAGGAGCACGCATCCCGTCAACCTTGATCTCTTCAAGACACGCGAGCGCAATGTTAGTGGTTCTTATGAAAGGGCCGTAGAACTTGTTTTCTGCTCCTGGACGTACGCTTGTAATCGTCATAAGCATGAAAATGCTTGATCAGCGAACTTGGAACAAGCGCTCACTATTCGTTAAGGGCTGTCTCGACATCCGAAGACTTTACGAGCGCAGTGGAGGCGTGTCCATTGCAAACCGGTAGAACAGCCTTTAGGCACTTTTGCAGGAGCTCAGGCTGTTTAGTCTCGGGAGTGGAAGAAGCGCGCTGCAGCAGGGCTTGCAGCATGGCATCTGCCTTGCACTCCTTAACTTGCTCGACATCCCGTTGAATCCATGGGCGGACTTTCTTAACCCTTGATAGAATGTTAGGTGCTACTCAATGAAAACAAGAAATGTGCGGACTTGGCACCGAGCACGCCGATGTTCTCGCTGACGACGGAAGCCCCACGGCTGTTTGGGGTCGATTCTATTTTGCTAGCACCTTGAGCTGGTGCATTGGCGCGTGGCGGAGTAGACGATGTGCCAGTCTCGTCGGCAGGGGACATGACGCTAGGCGTTCAATGATTACGCTGACTGAGTGTTGTCAGCAGAACTGGTGAAGTGGAGAAAATTAAGAGGACAAGAAAAACGACTGCTTCCTGCTTGCCTTATATCTGGTCAACCAATGTGGCGCAAATGTAGTGGACCATTTGATCAATCTGATGTGGATTGATGTGGCGATTGTGGACCTACAGTTCGACTCCGACGACGCGTTCCCATCAACACGCGCACGTGACCCTGACTTATTTGTCAACTAGATCTAGCTTTCAGTCAAGTCCTCCATAGTATTAGATCCATCTCTACTCACTGTCAATTTTGTATCAATTCGTTGAAAATAAGATCGCGTGCCAGTCATTTTTTCATTTTTTCATGAGGGACTTCTACCACACAAATGACGTTCTGTAATATGTAACTTGAATTAATCATGATCATCGGGCTTATACTATGAATTTTATTTGATTCAAAAGTTCATCTAAGAATCCTGATTTCGGGATTTATATGCTCAGAGTGGCACAGAGTCCGACGCTTGCGCCACGGTTCAGAGAAAGAAGATAGGTGCACGACCTTGCACGACTTGATCTGTGGCACTGTCAGTTCTCTCACACAATCATTGCCTCCTTTTAGATTCATGTACTGCTCCCATATGTCACTTGTGAATGGACACGCCGTGTGAGTTGTGTGTCTTGGGCGATGTCAGATGATCAATACGTTTAATAGATATCAAAAGCAAACCAAAATGCAGTCATTGGCTAGTAAGCGGTGCTCGTAATACATCCATACAAATTTCAAACCCATCGCTCACTCTTAATCACTTGCAGGAAACCCTTCTAGGCTCCAGTGCCCCGTACCCTCGCTCATATACTCCTCAGTCAATCTCGCGGCCCAAAGGAAGAGTGATCCATCCAGCGCTTCTGCGCCCTCCAGTTCAGTATCCTTAAAGTAGCCCTTGGGCCGTGTGCCATAAAGTGAAGAGAAATGCGCGAAGGCGCGCTGAATCTTCGGCATATGTTCATTTGGGTGCGTTATCACAGATTGGATGATGTCGAGGAATGGGTTAGCGACCTTGACCTCTGACGAAATATGTGAGTTGGTGCTGAGGAAGCCTCGAATGTCCAGTCTAGGGAAGCCGAGTGCGATCCACCACCCAAGAGTCGATGCAAAGTATCCACGAAGCAGAAGAACTTGCGAGTTTTGCGGCAGGTAAGGTAACAGGGATGGAAGGAAGAGACTCGACGTGACGAAATGCATACTGGAGCGCCCCAAAAATCAATTTTTTTTTTCGCAGATGCAGATTGACGCCACTTACAAGAAGAAGTCTGCTGTTAAGCTTCTGTCTTTGTTCCATCCACCAATGCTGTAAAGGATAGTGCTCGTCCAAATACATTCTTCTATCTTACGTTCGATTTCGCCTGGCTGCGACGGGTCGATCGTCCATTGTTCAGCGTAGTGCCATATAGTATCACCATGCTCGGACATCAGGCCGTCAAAATCTTTAAAATACTTCTTGATTTCCTTTGGTGCGAATTTTGAATCTTGCATGATCTTGGCAAGAATGGAGAATGCATGATTATTTGGCGAGTTTTCGAGCTGAGAGGGCGCAGTAGATGTCTTTGTATTAAGGAAAAGCGAGGCAAGGCGAGATGTTGCCTCCTCCACTGCAGTCGTGCCGCTGGACTCGAAAAGATATGACGGCAAGAATTCATACCCTTGCACGCTGGCCAATGCAAGACCTTGAATTGCTTGTTAGGGATCTGTTTATGATGATGTGTCACGTTACTCACCTTCGACAACCATGCCTGGGATGCCCAATTCCGCGCCGTATCCTACATGGATGAAGGCGTGGAACAAAGCTCCAAGAAAGCGCGCCAACATCACGGGCTGGGCGGACATGCCTCGTCCGTCTATAAAGTTGTACTTTTTAGAGAATATGTATTCCTCAAGCGTGGCGCTGAAGCCCCTTTCCTCAATAATCTTGCTGAAGAAGGCTTTGTACGCGGCGTAAAAGCTGACAAGAAATTGATTGAGCGGGGCTTTTGAAGCATCAATTTTAAATTCACTTCTCGTCACCTAGATGTTCGATGAAGTTCGCTTCTGTGACAGCCTCGGGAGGCTCGACTGCTGGGCGCTGGTAGGCGTTGTCTTGCTCGTAGAACTGTTCGATCAGAGATCCACTCGCGCCCATGACATAAAGTGCCAGCGCGCGATGAGTGACATGGCTTCATCGACGCTCGAATCAGCAACATGAGACACGGATCAGTTAAGATACATACGCACTTATGGAACCGCTTATAGTTGAGAAAATGTGGTACTTTGTATGGTTCTCCTTCAAGACATGTGTCAAAGCTGCAACTGCTTCTGGTGAGGCACCGGGATACCGCGGAGGGGAAAGTACGTTGGGCGGGAAAGATGGGGAGGGGAACAGGGCATCGAGTTCGCTGCCAGGATGAGTCTGTTGAACTGGAGCCATCTTTGAGCGGGGCTGCCACAATGCAGAAAGGGGCGGTTTGGTGGATGCGTCCTGGCGAACGTGTATTTATACGCTTATCCCATAGCTACAGGGTGCTGCCAGTGAGTTCTGAGTGCTGAGCCGTGACGCTCGTGCACTTGGGGAATTTGTTCAGCGCCCAAACACGGATCATGATGACAGATGTTAACAACCGACGGAAGCCTTCACTATTGCAATAGGATCCGGATCACATATCAACTCTTGTTAGGCACCAGGTCTTCTTAATGCATGTGGTGGCCTAATGAACTATACTAGAATAAGCAATAAGAGTTTTAGTAAACGTCTGGCGAAGTGTCCCGGCCCTGTGGGTCTGATAAACATCATCTACCTGATCTTGCCAATCCACTGCGCGGTATTGCATGAGATCCGATCATATCGGAAAGTGACAAAGTGCTGTGCTCCTTGGAACTGAAGCCGAGTGGACGCGTCTTCAAAAGTTAGCAGCCCATCCATCACGAGCATGGACTGTGGCGTTGCGCTTAATGTCCTGGACCAGGCTTTCAACTTCCAAGTGCACTGTGAGTCACTATATAGCACACCGCTTCCATCATTCCTTGACACGCGCGACGCTAGACATGAGCAAGTTTAAATTTTCTGTCAAAGGAAGAATACGCATGGCTCGAACCAAGTGAAGATTGCAGGCGAGGAAATAATTGAGTGGGAACAAGCGCCAGAGGTAGCGTTGATGTGAAGTCTGGGAGGAAAACGCGGAGACTAGTAAAGAGGCAAAGTATTGCGTGTGCAGTTCTTGGAGCATCCATGACTTTTGTAGACCCACACTAACACTAAAATACGCTATCAGCGTGCTTTAACCAAACCAAGTCCTGCAGTTCCAAATTCAATTAAGATGTACTAGTGATCAGGAGAAGCTTGCAGGAAAGCCTACCCAAATCAAATGTTACACTTCCATCCAATCTCATTGGCAGAGCCCGAGAAGCAAGGCCATGATACCCTTAAGATATTATCAAAAATGGCTGCATAAAACGCACGTTAGAAGACTTAGTAAACTACTCGCAGTTTGGAATGCGAGATCTTTTGGCTGCATCCAATGCATATGCAGACCCTGGGTTGGGAGTTGGCGGCAAGACTAGAGTGATGGTACAGTGAGGGAAATATATTTCAGTTTGGTGAGAGGTGATCATGACGTACGCTAGATGTGACCGTTCAGCCTGAGACATATGAGGTGTTGGAGTAACAGCTCGACATGAGAAACAGAGATGATACGCGTACGACCACGACAGTGATCATATTTGAAAGGCATACCCATCGAGCGTTACCAGTCATTGAACGACGGGCCAAGAAGCACCGGCTGCACGATCGCAGCGAACACAAGGCATTTTGAAAGCTGTAGAGACACAGCTTGCACAAGTTGCGCAGCGTCAGCCTCAGGCGCAATTTTTGATTACACCGTCGGCATGAATTTGTAAGAATTGGAAGCGCGCCGCCTGCAGCCAAAGTTTAGAGCGAACAACCTCGTACCTTGGGTCTGTATTAAGTCCGGTCGCGACAACCACTCGAGTGTTTGAAGTTGATGAAACGTACACAGTTTTATTCGACGCAGTCCTCCAGAATAAACGATGTATGGCGACGGTGGGACTTATGAAATGGAGCTGTATCGAAGAAAATGGAGGGGCATCACGAGTGGGTGAACAAATTGGCTGCACTACAAGACCGGCGATTGATAGCAAGCGATGGTTCCGAGGTAGAGCTCATCACTGGGAACCATGAAATTCCAACGCGGGATCAATTTCCTGAGCTTTTCTCCAAATGTTGACAGAGTGCTGCATCAACGTTACAATGACAGAGCTGCCAGCTGCAGTATGGAGCATAGAAACATGGCAATTTCCGAAGGTGAGCATGGAAAGAGTGGCTGTGTCGGGTAAGAACGTCACGCAGCGCTTAAACTATAATTTTACAAAGGACTAAAGCTCAAAGACGTGTATATATCAGCTATAATGCATGTGAATCTTATATCCTAAAAACCATATGGCTCCAGCCGTCTGATGCACTTGGGTTGTGGTCTCTTCCATTCCCCTTTGTTTGGGTCTGGCCATAACGAAGCACTGTCCTGAAATGGTGGAGCATCGTCTGCACCACCGGGAGGCGGGGAAAAAGCCAAAGGGCCAAGTAGGTAAGTAGCACATCCCCTACACGACGAGGTCAGTCATTTCACAAACAAGTAACTTGACTTTGTTACCTCGATACCACAGGCCGGTCGGCACTTCACCCACACGCTCCAATCTAACCAGGAGATTAATCGTGTCACATCTTCCTTCCATTCGCCCATGAGAGTATGTATGTGATCAGCTTCTGGGAATTGTTCTGGAGGATAAAAAGGGTCGACTCCAACAATCAATCCAGAAGCCCACATCTTCGTGACAACGCGGCATATTTCACGCGTAGTTTCCCGCACCGCCTGCAGGAGCAAATGTTCAGAGGGCATCAATGTTACTCCATGAGCTACTATGGAGGCCGTGTGCGATGTAGCACATTCGCGAAAAACTGGCGCAGCCCACGAATTTGTCGCGTTGCCAGTGGCAGACGTATTGGTATTAGAAGGTCGAGCTGCAAACAGAGTATAGGGCAAAGTACAGTACGCAGTCGTCTCTGGACTTGTTGCGCGTGATCAAAGATCAACCTATCATCCAACGTCATGTTCAAAAGGTACTGCATCAGCTCCAGGCGGCTGGCATATCGATCAACCACCACCCGCAAGACGGTCTTCCAGTCAATGCCGCTGGTTGTCACGGGTGGTCGTACCAACGCTTGAGCTAGCCTGTCGTGGACACGTTCTATATCCCCTGATGATATGCCTCCCACTCGATGATCCCACCGCTCCAAACCTACACGACGCGGCACCAAGGAGGGAACGAGAGCGGTGTCGTAGAAAGAGACTAGCCCAGAAAAATCAAGCACAATCCGGGTTTCTCCTGGATAATTTCCGTGCCATGAAGCAGAATGCATTACTTCATAAACGTGATGCACTGATGTCCGAAAATAGATCAGACCTACGTCAAAACATAGACATGCTCGCTCACCAGTATTGAGGTCCTCTGGCCAATTCGTGGGCGGGCCGATGCGAGTGCTCTCGAGATTTAAGAACGAAACGACCTCCATGTGAGAGGTGAAGTTGCAGATCATGATTTCACTATGACCGTCGTTAGCAACAAATCACCAAGGAACTATGTATGGGTTCGCACAAATTCTCTTCCATCCTATAACTCACAAATCAGCATCAGGTACTGACGCATCTCAAAATCCAACGAACCTCACAAAGCCATTCACACCATATTTCTGACCCCATTTACACAGATCCATAATGCGCTGCTTTTCATGGTTCACCCAGTCGGGTTCATTTCCGACCACGCCACGAGATCTTGGGTGTCCAAGGTGCCCTCGGGGAGGTTCGCAGCGCTGTTTCCGTCAAAATAGAGTACTTTCATCGGCCGAGTGACTGTAAGGGTGAGGTGCCAGCACCCTGTTTCGATTGATCCACGCAGAAAATTAAGGAGTGGTCTGGCTCTACAGACACCCAATCCAGAGCGGTCGGTAAATGGGGACCGGTGAGGGCTCCATGGTAGAGGAGAGTGCCTACGGGAATAGTCCCTGGGACTATTGTATGACCTGCAGGACGTAAAAGACGAGTCATGACATCTGCGCAGTGTTCGTAATTTTCAGACATACCAATACGATAACGTGTGTTTGCCCAGTGTGAAGCAGGGAATTGGCCGTTTCAAACACCAGATGTCCTGTCGCGTTCACCGCAGGCGCTTCACCAAGATCCCATCGTCCAAGATCATTTTCGACCCCCTGGTAAAAGGATAAAGGCGCATGACTCGACAGAGGTGTCTGTGCAGTCAGAACCCGTTCAAAGGTAAGGAAAAGCCAAACGGCTGCGGCTTTCCTGGCAGAAAACATGAGTGCGTACTAGTGCCAGGTAGTGCCGCACTGTTAGCATTAATGCCGAACTAGGCTCCCAACAGGATGGGAAACAGAACCCCACACACCACTTTTTAGCTTTTCATCCTTGTGCCTGCCACTCTCTCCTATACAGAACTTAGGTGTGTACTGAGCTCTCAGGGCTGCTCAATTCTAAAAGTTCAAGTTCACCTGCAGGGATCCAAGAACCGCTAAGCGTTCGCTAAACCTGTCCTAAACGGGACTGGTACTTGGCTTTGTAAACCTTACGGCGCGCAGTGCCAACGCTTGATGTATTACATAAGCAAATTATCTACAAGCAGTCTTGTGCATTGCAGCATCATTGGACCAACCAACCACATGCACTCGACCCTTTGACCAACGCTTCAGCCACCTTCAGTTGCTCCTAGCCCTTGACACACTCCCTCATATATATAACTCTCATTTCTTCACTCATTCTGACTCTGATCCGAGCCCGTTGTCATTCACTTGACTACGTCTCTATCTATATCATCACTCTTCGCGTCTCATATGTCCTTGATCACTCATTTCTATTCTCAATCGAACTTGGCCTAGTTCTCTCGAATTATCAGTGCGTTTATCATAGAGCTTGTGCGATAACGAAGTTCCTATCGGTTCCAGAGTCTGAAGTGACATCCTACTCGCCGATATTCTCGCAGACAGTACTGCTTACTGTTTGATCAGTCTCGCAATATGTACTTTCGTACCTTCCCTCGGTGAATTCGTGAGTTTACCTACTAGCTCTGCGCTCCGGTGATATAATAGTAGTAAGGCGGCCTTCTGAATCAAGCCAGCGCTGGGGATCGAATATTTCAGGATCTGGGAAGACGATAGGATCGCGAGAAAGAGTCCTGAAAACACGCGCTTAATGAAACAACGTACACCATGAAGCAACACCATACCAATGGCAGCCGTAAACTGTTGCACCCTTGGAAATGCAGTATCCTTGCTGATTGCACACACACTAGAATGGGAATGTGGGCTACCGCAAATTAGTAAGACACTGACCCACAAAATATCCTTGATTGCACAGTGTGGAAATCGTCCTGAGGCACATGTCAGCATCGTGCAGGAGTGTGCCGAAATTCAATTTACCTATGCGAACGATAGGTTTCCATCTCAAAGCTTCCAACAAGAACGCGTGCAACTGAGGGAGCGAGGTTGAGTCATTAAATGTCGTCGCTACAACGAAATATTAATTGTCGCAAGTGTCTGTTCAGTCGTTTGACAACGACAGCGAAGGTGAACAGGCAGAGGCCCTCGTGACACCGACATTGTGGAGCCTGGCTATTGGAGAGCACCGTTAATATGGTGTTCTACTAGACTGGTGAAGTCTAGCGTTCTACATCCAAGCGGAGATACCACGTTTTGCGACAACCCTCTTCTAAATGGGCTCCCATCATACCCGTGATTTCGCTGATTCGTGTACTTATAAAGTAGCTCAAAATTTCGCTGCGGCAGCGGACTTCGCCATCACGTCGTGTGTGATCAAGTGTGATCAAATGTGGGGTAAGTATATGGACCAGGTCGGATATACGTCATCATCATCGAATATTCAAGTCGCCAGAAGGATCGAGGCCTCGGAGTTGGCACCAATCAAAGCAACTTGTCTCTGGTCAAAGGCAACTCATGTACACATCGATAAAAGTACTAGTAAGCATCTGCTCTACCCATCTTCTTGTACAGTATTTTCTCGAAACTCCTCGCCAACGCATAGGTGATAGCTCCCACCACAAACCCTACGAACACACCAACGTCTCCACTGCCCTGCCTCGCTACTGGTCCTACATACCAAGCCTGTGACATGAATGGAACAATAGCGCCACACGCGCACACGAAGGCCGCTACTGCGGGGATACCGCTAGGCAAGAAAGCATATGAAGCCCAAGTTGTGATGGGATATTGGTCCTCAGAAAACAAGGCTCGTCGGAATAACATATGCTCTGTGAGTATTATCGCAGAGAATGCTGATGTCCAATATCCATCGATATCTGAGAGATCATCATGTTAGCGCTAACGATAGATGCCGATATTTGGGACTTCTACTCAGGATGTCAACAAAGGTAGCATAAAACTTTTTGGCACCAACAATGGCCACTGGTATCAGGCTTGAACCCAAATAATGAGCGTCCCCGAGGCTTGCATCCACTTGATGACACCTACATTCCCTCTGAGATGAGGATATATACCCATCTGGGCACCGCAGCGAACCACGTAGAAATAGCCATGAAACTGTTGCTGAACGTATATATCGTTGGTGCACAGGCACTGGATATGCTGAGAGCAACCAAAGCAGTCAGGATTTCTCCAAATGCGCCTGTAGGTAACAAGACGCTGTGTAACAAGCCACCGACGGAAGATCTGTCATCAAATCCTGCATTCCAAGCAGGCACGCTCGGAGCTGCTGCTGCGAATGCGGCACCCAAAGCCTGACCAGTCACCTTTCCAAAAGAAATCGACAAGGTGCAACTGGTACCAACATAAATGGCTTACATTGGACACGAAGAACCCAAGATATGTGTAAATGAAAATTCTCGCACTATCGGAATGTCAAGGGGAACCCTGGCGATGGCCCGGGAAAACTCACGAAGAAACGTGAGGGCTATGGTATACGCCATAGTCAGGGATCATGGGACACCAGCTGATCATGTTAGATGCGAGAATGGACGCAAAAGAGATGACATTAGCGGGTGTTGCTGGAGGGACGGGAGCCGATAGGTTTTCACGTAGTTGTGGATAACCGACAGCTAGCATGGCGATAAAAGCGATTACATTCGGGATCCATGCAACACTTTCGTACCTATGAATCAACATTCCGTCAGAATTCTGGATGATTGATGTTGGAGGGGTCCCACCAATGGATAATGCGGTATCCGCAGGAAGTGACCTTGAAACCTGTCATTCCTAGTGCAACAAGAGGAATTCCGACATACCACAAGAGATATAATACCAAGGATGACGATACCAAGAGTATCATGAAGTTGAGAACACAAGCTAGCTATCGTTTGTCCGCCAATGATACAGCTCAGAATGAGGAAACCTTCCGAGGAGAAAACATTCAAGACGGCCGGTATGATGGCACCGAAATACCTTGATGTCGGTCAGGGAATGATACTGGCAATCGGAAAAATAACTCGCCCCCATGAGTACCTCGCTTGTACCATAGCTCGCAGGCCAAGCTTTGGCCCGAAAACAGCACTAGTGCATTATGAAGTCCCTGGAAATGCGCAGAGAGGAATAGTAAAACTCACAAGAATCCTGGCAATAAACAGCATCTAGCTGAAGGTCAATCGCTGCAGATCGAGATTTCGTGGACTGTTGACTTACACTAGGTTAACACTGACGATGATAATTATGGAGTCGCAAACTCCCAGGGAAAAAAATGCAGGGCCAGCAACACCAGTGCTGAATCTGGAGGTGTTGGGTGGATTAGGGAATAGCGCCAGAATTAAGACAACACTGAAACCATACGTCAAGATATTCATGCAAGAGGAGAACCAAATGAAAAACAACTGGTACCACCGAGTCTCGAGACGTTCCTCTGCCGACACCGGCATGATGCTGATCCAAGGATCAGTAAAAAAGCTAAGACAGGTATCACAACATCTTCATCTCACTCACCCATGAGTTTCAATTCCATATCGAGAAAATAACTGAGTGGTACGTCTGAGGAATCCTATGTGATAGCGACTGTCCTCCATACTATCATCCCTCGTATGCTCATCAGAGGATACACTAAGACTAGAATGGCAGTTCAACGGACCTGTCCTGTTTTTGCTCCACTGTGTAAGACTGCATTGCGTGAGTAGTAATCGACCTGTTTCAGTTTGGTCGATCGATGTGCAACAGTGTCAGATGAGTCGGTCCGGGGTGCCTATTCCTATTGTTAAATGTCGTTAGCTGGCGAAAGTACAGCAAGTGGGATCCGAAACTTACCGTGACGGATAACACTACATACCCGCATATATCAAAACAGCAAGATCTTTAATTGGTCAATCAAGCTTCTCGGTCTGTGTTGTTCCCAAGCTTTCAAAGTTTCAAGTTGGGAACGATGCAGCATGATTCAGTGAACATATCCTTGATAGTAGCTGGAATTCTACCCCGAAGCGAGGTACGAGTGTAGTAGGGTTAGAATTATGTCTATGCGTTCCGAGACTTTGCGTCTAACTCGAGAAAGGAGATGTAGAAGCACGACTGAAATTCGGAGATGATGAGTGACGGTAGGAAAACAAAAAGGGAATCATGTAACGATGTTCCGGACGAAAGCCCGCATGGCTTTACGGGCAGAAACAACAGCCTGAAACCTAGGGTGAAAAGCAGTGTGAAGGGCGGGTGGGCCCGAACGGATTAAGGTCCTATTGCCAGTGTTCAGGATACGAGCCTTCAAGTTGATGCGTCGCTGGTAGTGATGAAAAAGTTCAGTCCTTGAACGTTCGAGGACCCAGCCCTTGGTTACGCTCTCCGTTCGACACTGCTTGAACTGTCTTGAACGTGTTTAAACGCGTCCGAACGCTGAACGGAGACATAGGCAAACATATATTTTTGATGCACATTGCAGTAAGAATATTACTGCCGAAAAGTTGTTTGTCCAACTCCAAAAGCGGTGAATGAACAACAACTGGTCTATCGATATGAAGGAGGGCTCAGGGCACTACACACTCAGGCAACAGACATCTCATGAAGTCATGTCCCTGAACGTTTGACAGTGCCGAGTCCACCAGAGGTGCAAGAGCCTTACACCAACCGCAAACCATCTACTCCCACTTCTCTTACAGCTACGACTCGTCCTCCCATTTCTGTGAACACCAGGTTCAACAAGGGTTTTCTGGAACTCTCTCAGCTTTCACCGAGCCAGCGGACACCTGTGTTACAAGATGATTTCGTTCCACGATCTATTCTTGCTCGTGCAGCTACATTCGATGGTAGCTCGGATGACCCATTATCCACCACACGGTCTTTTCTGAACCCCCACTGGCATACATTGGCAGTGCCAAACTCCCCAGACCGTGAACCCATAAGCCGACTAGGCACAGTACGTAGCGTATTTCTTGGCCTTTTCTATTGCTTTAAGTATTGACATCCTAGACCGATGCCACACGTGACGAGGACGATGCAACTGCTACCTGGCTTTTTTGATAGCAATGTTCCATATAATGACCATGTGCGTCACTAGCGTTTCTAAACCAGTTCTTATTCTAACTTCTTGATCGGTACCTCACTCCTCCGCAAGAAACGGTAACCGGTCCTCTGTCCATCGCCGCCGCCGCCGCCCTCTCGCACCATCTCTTGGGATTGCAAGTGTACTCATTGGCCAGCCTTTCAACCCTCTTTCGCCGCACTCCCTCTAATATTAATGAAGCAACCAAACTCCATCAGCGCGCCAAGGCGATTTATTTTCTCCTGTCCCAGTCCTCGTGTCGTCGATAGTGCGAGACAGACAAGTATGTCTTTATTTGGGTCGATTTCCAACCACTGGGGTTCAATGATTTCTGTGCAGACACTGTTTGTTGCTCCGCCACGGCAAACGATAACACAAACACGGCAGCCACACGGCCAATCACATGGCCAAGCTCAGTCATCATCGTTGCAATCCCAGCCTATTGCCGCCTCGACGCTCACAACACCTCCTGCTCCTGATACTAATACTGCTACACCAGGTGCAGCAACCGTGCGGATAAACCTACTTCCCTCGTTGGCTCGTCTCGTGCCCCTTCTTTGCTGTGCATCCCTTCCACATACCAACGGTCATTAATTTTACTACAGGTGCAGCACACGTATTTCATCTTTACTTCTAGCTCTCTTCATTGTCACTGCCTAAGTTCTCGACACGCAAACATATCCCGCGTGGGGATCAGACAATCAAGCATCACCTTATGCCGCCTCCTTGTCGTTCACGTTTCTAACCGGTGCATTCCAGTATCATTGGACCAACCACGTCTACTCGACCCTTTGACCAACGCTTCAACCACCTTCAGTTGCTCCTAGCCCTTGACGCACTCCCTCATATATATATAACTCTCATTTCTTCACTCATTCTGATTCTGATCCAAGCCCGTCGTCATTCACTTGACTACGTCTCTATCTCTATCTCTATCATCATCACTCTTCGCATCTCACATGTCCTTGATCACTCGTTTCGATTCCCAATCGAACTTGACCGAGTACTCTTGAATTATCAGTGCCTTTATCATAGAGCTTGTGCGATCACAAAGTTCCTATTGATTCCGGAGTCTGAAGTGACATCCCACTCGCCGGTATTTTCGCAGACAGTACCGCTTACTGTTTGATCAGTCTCGCAATATGTACTTTCGTACCTTCCCTCGGTGAATTCATAAGTTGACCTACTAGCTCTGCGCTCCAGTGGTACAATATTAATGACATCATCGCACACAACTTGAATGTAGTTTTTGACGGATGGAATCAGAGTCCTGTAGGAAATCTTCTCGGATTCGTGTGTGCTGGCGTCTGTGCCCTCGCACTTACATACAGCTTTTCGTCTGATGATCCGCTGGTAATATTGTCGGTAAGACAGATCATACAGTTGAAAGTGTACATCACTGTTTGTATGCGTGTGATCACATTTATATAGACAATATATTGGGTTGTATCTCGTTGAGTGTTTGGCACCCCCACCTTGTGGAGAGACTGAGACAAGCGTTAGTGGTAGTTGGGCCTGGCTTCGGGGCTATTTGAGTCGGATCAGTCTCTCCAGTTTCTCTGATATGAGCACTTACACTCGAATATGCGTCAAGCTAACTATAATTTCCCTTGAATAGTAAATAAATTCCGTTTCATAAATCATATTCATATTCATATACATAACACACGACATATGCGAGTAGGTAAACCAGCACCAAAACTCTCTTCAAAAACTAACTACCGTCTCCACAAAATAACTGATGATGACCCTGCTGAGACCAATTAGTTCAGATGATGTCCATGTTACTCATATCAACGACGCGGCGGTAACGGCCACCAGCGCGTACATCGAGGGGACGACGTTCGGCCAATGACATATGGATGTACCATTGGAGTGTCCTCTCGACAGGGCGCGGCTCGCCCATGTCAAGGTACATGGGACGCATATGCTCTGGGCAGTGCTTGCTGCAAACAGGCGCCAAGGGATAGCGATTGATCATTCTACGGAGGACGGTCGGGTCCTGCTCATGTGAAATCTCATCGTATTGGGAGTAAGGCCAGTAGGACTGTGGATATGCTGGCGCAGGAGTCGGGACCGCGACATGGGATGGAACTTCCCGGACATTTACGCGTGAGCTGTGTGCGGAGCGCGAGAGTATTGGATGTGGGGCACGGGTGGTAGGAAGAGGGGGAGCAGGAGCGGGAGGAGCAGAGATGTTTGAGCGATCAGTGCTCGACTTGGCGCGAATACGTTCTGCCAGTCTGCCACTGCGAGTATCACCAGGGGTCCGAAGTACATCCGCCGAAGCTTGATCAACGGTGACCTCATGCCTCTGGTTTCTGCGGGGAATGGAAGGGTAGGCTTGTTGACCACTTGTACCCCAATTATGGATAGGAATTTGGGGCTTGGTATTCTTTGAGTTCAAAGAAAGTGCTCTGAAACCGCTGCGAGGGAGGCCCTCAGTTGGTTGAGGGGAATAGGGAAACTTGGCCAGCAAGTCCGTGTCAACGTTTGTACGAGTTGGCTCATGGTAGTAGGTGTGTTGCGACAGTTTGCCGTGATAGATCTCGAGTATCCCCGGGGCTTGCTCGACGTACACAATGTCGGATTTTTTAAGGGGAGTCTTGCCACGGTATGCAGGGTTTGGAAGGATCGGCATGAGGAGGCTCGCGCTTCCTCCCTTCTGAAGAGAATCCGTATGGCATCGACTTGGAGTGCTTAAGCGATACCTTCTGGTCGTCGTTGGACCTGAGCGGTATTGATCAGTATGATGATAATGAGTAGAACACGAGAACGGTCGACTTACTTTTGGAACATTTTCTTGAACGAATTCATGATTGATGCGGGGAAACAAGGGATGTAAAGTTACCAAGAATATGAGGTGGTAGTGTGTGTGGTGCTGTAGGGAATCTGCATTTCAGTATATAAAGGTTGGGCTACTGTGGACGTACCACGGCATCCAAAACCACAATCACAAAGCAATTTCTCAATATCCGAAAACCATTCAAGTGTGGATGCTCTGGGGATTGTTCCGATTACCCACATGATGTCGCCCCATTTGCATCACAAAGGTAGAACATGCGACAACCAACCAATTATGTGCCACAGTTGCCACAACCCGCCCCAATGAATGCATCATGCATCCTGCTTATTAATATCTCGAGCTCATAGCTGGTGCTTAATGAACGCGCGATAAAATTTCCAGCAATGACGGACAGCACGCTGACTCGGATGTGCCAGACACAAGTATAGGGAACGACATGCACAAAAACGCTAAAAAATACAGACAGATTCTTCCTTTAACTTCTCACTTGACAAGACCACTCAGCGTACCTTTAAAGCGCATTGCACCTGACCGGCTGTATTTTAGCCCAAGTTGCTCGACATCGATAAAGACGCATGGAGTGCGTTCGGGCTGGCATCTCGAGCAATCTGAAGGTGATGTAAATAGTCAAGTAAGCATTGATATCAACTCTAACGAAACTACACACACGGTCCGACTATCATGGCTTCTGGTACGCCTAGAGGATGGACTCGGTACCGATCATAGCCCTGAATGAAACTTACGTTGCTGATCTCTAGAAGTGTCGAGATGCTCTCGCTCCCATCAGGATGAGTGGATCATCTGCTCCAAGGCATGAAGGTCCAGTTACTTGTTTCATGGTCGAATCTGGGACTCGGATTTACTTACTCTAACCGTGCAATCCGTATACAATCCGAAGTCCTGTACAGCATCATGCGCGAATAGCCCCGACAGGAGCCATGGTCGAAATCAAGACTCAAACTTGCGGCAATGCAGAAGGTCTGACGTGATCACAAAGGTTTTTAGTTTGGAAAGAGATCGGAAACTCTACCTATAGCAATATGTCAGTCCGAAAAACAGCATGCAGGGACTAGGCGGATGGAAAAAAATTCGAATGGCGTCGAGAATTCGCAGTCTATGTGATTCGAAAAATGTTTCACCACGGAAGCTAAGAACTTTGCCAGTTTGCCTTCCAGCCGGCGATATTACATAATAGAAGACTATGTTTGTCTTTGTTAGGAATGGAAGCTTAGCGCTCAGCGTCACGGCGGCCATATAGGCCTGGCCCGAGTCGCCCGACGCAGCACACTGAGCGCCCCTATTTCTATATATATGGAGCGTGCTGTGGTGTGACACTGACAGTGGCTCCGGTCGCTATAGTAGTATCAGCGCTTCAGCCTCGTTCTTTACTTGTTGATTCTCTTCTACTGGGTCATGTTGACATCCAACGTCAGTACTTGGCTGTATCTATGTCTTGCTGGTATCGGAGTATACCTGGTCAAGCAGGTGTTGAACAAGAATCCTGCATCATATCACCCCGCCCCCCGTGGGTGGCCTCTCATTTGGAATCAGGAATGCCTCGAATCAGCCTTGGCTCACCTTTGCGAAGGGGGGCAAGAAGTATGGTGAGTGTCTCCCGTTGCTCCAACATAATGCATCCCAATTCCGTGCCTTCTAGGTACTATCTTGCATATTGAAGTCCTGGGCAAGCGTATCATTGTGATAAATTCAGTCAAGAATGCTGTGGTCATTTTGGGCAAGAAAACCACTGTATACTCTGACCGTCCTGTTCGTAGAGATTCACATGTAAGTGATGTTTACTCGTCTTTCTCTATCTTAACAATCATTCATTATTCAATAGGGCAACGAGTACATCACCTACTTATTCCCGGATGGTACTGAGCGCCTCCTGATCAATGGGGTCGAGCAACCCCCAAACTCTAACCCTCCCCCATCTCATCATAACAGTCGCGCCATCGCTGCATCGCCACCAAGCCAAGACCCTCCTCCGCCATACGATGCTCATGTTGTCCCACCGCCAGCTGCAAGATCTACGCGCTTATCACGGTTCATGCATTCCAGGTTTCGGAACTATGCAAGGCAAGCCCAAGATCCCAACCCTACTTACTCGATGCAGTCAAAGGCGCCTTACGCCTCGCAATATGCGGATCCAAATTTGCTTGGTGCGTACCATGGTCTGCGTGCGTTCAAGTATACTGACTCACGGTCGTGTATCTCTTTTACAGGACATCAGAAGAAGAACAGGACCCGTGGTGGCGCAGACAAGGCGTGGGGTAGGTCTGCGTGGAAGTTTTGGAAGCGAACGAAACTATGGTCAAGAAAATGAAATTATTTTGTACTACGTACCTGGCTGCTCGCTCGATTGATTCTGATTGCTGACGATTCTGTGATATATTTATTTATTTATTATTTTAATTTTGCCAGTATTGTACCCCATTGACAACGCAAGAATTAACTTCGCTCATACACATCAAAATTTTACAAATTTCGTTAATCGTCAATACACATTGCACCGCGATAAACCTAAAACCAATACCTAATACATCAATCACAGCTCATAACTCTTCAAAGAAGGACAAATCGTGTGCATTCGGCCCACCCGTCTGAACCGACTTCGCAGGCGGTCTCTCGGCTTGTGACGACAACGATGACAACGATGCAAATGACAACAGTGGTTGGGACAACGACACGGGCGGCGGGGACAGCGACAACTGAGGTACCATCGTAGACAGCACATTCAATGGCAGAGACCCAAACTTCAGCGCGAGCCACCATTGCTCAATAAATCCATATCCCGACCAAATGACGGAGAAGCAGATAGTGGTAGTAGCATGGGGTGCCTGGAATGCGTAGTCAGTGGGGAAGGCCACTGCCCGCGCTGAGTGGCAGCATGATCAAGCAGACTCTGCGTGCGTATGCGCAGAGATGTACAAGACTGCGAGCTTGGCATTGCTGGGACAGGCGGCGGGGATGGTGTGCAGATCCGCAATGAAGTCGCAAATTTGCCGAAAGATATTGACTTCGATGACTTGCCAGAGTTCAGTGCTTGGGTGGAGGATGGTGATTGAGAGATGAGTCCATGGACTCGCGTAGTGCCGGGAAGGGATCTGTGCGAGGGAGGGTTGAGGAACCAGAGAGTGGGTCGTCGTCGTCTTGATATGCGGCTGTTGCCCAGCCGGTGTTAGGAGACGATGTGAAAAAAGTAGCCCCTGGCATGGGATACACACTGAGCCGTGGGGTGGTAGGAGTGGTAGTATCGAGAGCGCAGAAAGTGCCTTGGGTGGCGGCGGGAGTTGAAAGGGTGAATGCATTCTTGAAGATGGTTGAAATGGCGAGGGTATTGCAACTGGTATTATTGGGCTGGAGTAAGCAGAAGAAGTCGCATTAATTGGTGAAGATGGTTTTGGGGGTATCGCTGGACTGTGCGGACGCGAGAACGACGTCCCTGTCACTGGGGACAACAGTGGCGACAGGAATAGAGCACGGACCGAAGTATGTTGTGAAGAACCGCGCGCAGGCTCTGGCGCAATGCCCAAGCCACTCAGATCGACATCGGAGGTTTTGATGGCGGTGCGAGTGGGGGTGGAAGCATTGTGGACGGTGTTGTATTTGAATTTATCAAACTTGACAGCGCTTTCAGCTGGGTATCGTCCGTGTCGTCATCGGAGTGATATGCACTAAGCACAATATCGGAAATCAAGGTCGTCTGTTGACAGCAATGAACATACGCTCGACTTTGGCACGTGAAAAACGGTTCAGAAAGCGCGAAACGACCGGTGCGGCGAAGGTGTGATCGCTGGAATCACTAGACTCATAACCAGTCTGACTATAGCGTCAATTTGAGATGGTGAGAATTTTTTGATGGCTACACCACTCGAGTATCCGTGGTATTATATGCCAGGCTGGTCACGACTCACGAGCCTAGACTTTCATTGCATCATACTTTACACCCTAGTTTAAGCGACTATTTTATTGTCAAAGAATCATATATATAATATCGGCGTGGTAGATGATCTGCGCCGCCGATGTGTTTGTGAGTGTCGACAGTATGAGGTATCGAGTGTCATTCACTGTTGCCAGCACATCAGAGAGACGGTGAGGAAGACAGTAGGCCACGATGGGGATCATACAAGTGCATTGTGTCGAGGAAGGTTAGAGACTCAATGCATGCGGTGGCCTAATGAGCTATACTAGAATAAGCAATAGGAGTTTTAGTAAACGAATGGCGAAGTGTCCCGGCACTGTGGGTCTGATAAACATCATCTATCTGATCTTGCCACTGCAGACCATTGCGCAGTGTTTGCATGCGATCCGATCATATCGGAAAGTGACAAAACTGCAGTGCTCCTTGGAGCTGAAGCCGAATGGACGTGCGTCTTCAAAAGTTAGCAGCCTATCCATCATGAGTATGGATTGTGTTGTTGCGCTTAATGTCCTAGACCAAGCTTTCAACTTCCAAGTGCACTGTGAGTATATAGCACACCGCTTCTATCCTTCCTTGACACGCGACGCCAGACATAAGCAAGTTAGATCTCTGTCAAAGGAAGAATATGTAAGGCTCGAACCAAGTGAAGATTGCAGGTGAGGAAATGATTGATTGGGGACAAGCGCCAGAGACAGCGTTGGTGTGAAGTCTGCGCGAGGAAAACGCGGAGACTACATAGTACAGAGGAAAAGTATTGGGTGTACAGTCCTTGGATCATCCATGACTTTTGTAGACCCACACTAAAACTAGAATACGCCGTCAGCGTGCTCAACCAAATCAAGTTCTGCAATTCCAATCTCAACTAAGATGTATTAATAATCGGGAGAAGCTCGCAGGAACGCTTACCCAAATTCAATGTTACACTTCCATCCAGTCTCATCGGCAGAGCCTGAGAAGTAAGGCTATGATACCCTTAAGATATTATAAAAGATGGCTGCATAAAACACACGTTAGAAGACTTAGTGAACTACTCGCGGTATGGGATGTGAGATCTTTTGGCTGCATCCAATGCGTATGCAGACCCTGGGTTGGGAGTTGACGGCATGACTAAAGCGATAGTACAGTGAGGGAAATACATTTCGATTTGGTGAGAGGTGATCAGGACGTACGCTAGATGTGACCGTTCAGCCTGGGATATGTGAGATGTTGGAGTAGCAGCTCAACATGAGAAACAGAGATAATACACGTACGACAACGACATTGATCATATTTGAAAGGCATACCCATCGAGCGTTACCAGTCAGATTCAACGACGGGCCAAGAAGCACCATCTGCACGATCGCAGCGAACGCAAGTTATGCAAGGCATTTTGAAAGCTGTGGAGACACACAAGTTGCACAAGTTGTGCAGCCTGAGGGCGCCAAAAAAATTACACCGTCGGCATGAATTTGTAAGAATTGGAAGCACGCCGCCTGCAGCCAAAGTTTAGAGCGAACAACCTGGTATCTCGGCGTGTATTAAGTCCGGTCGTGACAGCCACTCGAGTGTTTAAAGTTGATAAAACGTACATAGTTTCAGTCGACGCAGTTCTCCGGAATAGACGATGTATGGTGACAGTGGGACTTATAAAATAGAGTTGTATCGAAGAGAATGGAGGGGCATCACGAGTGGGTGAACAAATTGGTTGCACCACAAAACCGGCGATTGATCGCAAGCAATGATTCCGAGGTAGAGCTCATCAGCTGCAAGACACTTGACCCAAGCCACAAAATTCCAACGCGGGATCGATTTTCTGAGCTTTTCTCCAGATGCTGACAGAGTGCTGGCGATCACGACCGAGGCATCAATGTTGTCAACGTCGACCGAGCTGGCAGTATGGAGCATAGAAACATGGCAATTTCCGAAGGTGAGCATAACCGTGCGTAGTGGCTGTGTTAGGTAAGACAACCTTTTTCAAAGGTACATATACATCACGCGTACTTGAATTATACTGCAATAATTCTACAAGGACTAAAGCTAAAGCTCAAAGATGTATATATACATCAGCAATAATGCATGCGAATCTTATATCCTAAAAACCATATGGCTCCAGCCGTCTGATGCACTTGGGTTGTGGTCTCTTCCATTCCCCTTTGTTTGGGTCTGGCCATAACGAAGCACTGTCCTGAAATGGTGGAGCATCGTCTGCACCACCGGGAGGCGGGAAAAACCCAAAGGGCCAAGTAGGCAAGTAGCACATCTCCTACACGACGAGGTCAGTCATTTCACAAACAAGTAACTTGACTTTGTTGCCTTGATACCACAGGCCGGTCGGCACTTCACCCACACGCTCCAAGTCTAACCAGGAGATTAACCGTGTCACATCTTCCTTCCATTCGCCCATGAGAGTATGTATGTGATGAGCTTCTGGGAATTGTTCTGGAGGATAGAAAGAGGTCGACTCCAACAATCAATCCAGAAGCCCACATCTTCGTGACAACGCGGCATATTTCACGCGTAGTTTCCCGCACCGCCTGCAGGAGCAAATGTTCAGAGGGCATCAATGTTGCTTCATGAGCTACTTATGGAGGCCGTGTGCGCGATGTAGCACATTCGCGAAAAACTGGCGCAGCCCACGAATTTGTCGTGTTGCCAGTGACAGATGTATTGGTATCAGAATGTCGAGCTGCAAACAGAGTATAGGGCAAAAGTACAGTGCGCAGTCGTCTCTGGACTTGTTGCGCGTGGTCAAAGATCGACCTATCATCCAACGTCATATTCAAAAGGTACTGCACCATCTCCAGACGGCTGGCATATCGATCAACCACCACCCGCAAGACGGTCTTCCAGTCAATGCCGCTGGTTGTCGCGGGTGATCGTACCAACGCTTGAGCTAGCCTGTCTTGAACACGTTCTATATCCCCTGATGATATTCCTCCCACTCGATGATCCCACCGCTCCAAACCTACACGACGCGGCACCAAGGAGGGAACGAGAGCGGTGTCGTAGAAAGAGACTAGCCCAGAAAAATCAAGCACAATCCGGGTTTCTCCTGGATAATTTTCGCGCCACGAAGCAGAATGCATTACTTCATAAATGTGATGATCTGATGTCGGAGAATAGATCAGACCTATGTCAAAACATAGACATGCTCGCTCACCAGTATTGAGGTCCTCTGGGAAAGACGGAGGCCGGCCGACGCGAGTGCTCTCGAGATTGAAGAACGAAACGACCTCCATGTGAGAGGTGAAGTTGCAGATCATGATTTCACTATGACCGTGGTTAGTAACAAATCACCAAGGAACTATACATGGGTTCGCACAAATTCATTTCCATCCTATAACTCACAAATTAGTATCAGGTATTGACGCATCTCAAAATCCAACGAACCTCACAAAGCCATTCACACCATATTTCTGACCCCATTTACACAGATCCATAATGCGCTGCTTTTCATTGTTCACCCACTCGGGTTTCATCTCCGACCACGCCACAAGATCTTGGGTGTCCAAGGTACCCTCGGGGAGGTTCGCAGCGCTGTTTCCATCAAAATAGAGTACTTTCATCGGCCGAGTAACTGTAAGGGTGAGGTGCCAGCACCCTGTTTCGATTGACCCACGGCAGAAAAGTAAGGAGTGGTCTGGCTCTACAGCCACCCAATCCAGAGCGGTCGGTAAATGGGGACCGAAGATGACTCCATGGTAGAGGAGAGTGCCTACGGGAATAGTCCCTGGGACTATTGTATGACCTGCAGGACGTAAACGATGAGTCATGATATCTGCGCAGTGTTCATAATTTTCAGACATACCAATACGATAACGTGTATTTGCCCAGTGTTGAAGCAGGGAATTGGCCGTTTCGAACACCAGATGTCCTGTCGCATTCACCGCAGGCGCTTCACCAAGATCCCATCCTCCAAGATCATTTTCGACCTCCTGGTAAAAGGATAAAGGCGCATGACTCGACAGAGGTGTCTGTGCAGTCAGAACCCGTTCAAAGGCAAGGAAAAGCCAAACGGCTGCGGCCTTCCTGGCAGAAAACATGAGCGCGTAGTGCCAGGTAGTGCCTTGTTAGCATTAATGCCGAACTAAGCTCCCAACAGGGTGGGAAACAGAACGAGTATGTGGTGCCCTGTTCCAACCCGGAGCCTTGATCGGTTCCGGAATGAGGTAACACTCAAGTCCGAACTTGCATAGCCCCAACCCCTCTCCCCCCCGCCCCCCAACACCATTGCTTAGCATATAAAACAAATGATTGTAAAGCTACTGTTAGAGTATACTTACATCTTAAGACCTATAATCTATACTCACTCACCTGCAAGGTCAACCATCCAGCTTTGTCTGGTTCGAGAGTTGTTGACATGATCTAACATCAGTAAACCAGTGAGACTCCATCTGAGGTCAGCAATGCTCAAAAAGCTGCTTTTTGAGCATCATATTTGGTATGGTTCAGGTCATACTCATGTACAGCACAGGACTATACCTAAACTGTGCAGAGCCTTAGGGTCTGTTTGGATAGACATTTTTCCCAAGTTCAACTTCGCAAAACTGCTTTGTCATACTTTGTAGCTGTGTGACCTGTGTGACCATCCCTATCATACCATCGATAATCAGTACACGCCGGTCTTTGCCGGTATAGATATGTGGTATGCCTGTAACTCGCTCTTCTAAGTCTACTGCCACCTGCTGTCCTCATTTGACTCATTCTGTGAGGTCAAGTAAGGGTGGTTATATTCAACTATCAGCACCTAGTACAATGGGCAAGAAAAAAGTGCTGCTGCAGAGAAAGCTACTGAATTGGGGAGCCAAGAGACTCATGCTGATCAATGATGCCACTGGACGCCTGAAGATGAAATGTGAATGATCGAGTACATCGGCACCCACAAAGCAAAGGGCAGTGATGGAGTCAACTTTGACAGGACTTTCTGGGGCCTGGTGGCCAAGGAAATGGCTTCATGCACTACAATTGGTGCGGTGAAGACAGCGGACACTTGTTTGCAAAAATGGGGTCAGGTGCGTTGTTTTTCACCCCAATATGCGCTCAGATACTAACAAGACTTCAGTTGTGCGGCACCTTTCATGTTGTTGATTGTTACAATCAAGTACGCCCCTATTCATTTTCCCTTGTTACTTTCTCTTTATGTTGTATTACGCCACGATCACATCATGCCGTCGCTAGGTGATCTATTCTTGTTATCTTTGACTCATTCTGATTCCGTATCTCTGACTCATTCTGATTCCGTCTTATCTCTGACTCATTCTGATTCCGCCTTACCTGCCCTAAAGCAGCTATTGTTTACTATATAAATTCGTTCTGTACTATGTAGTTCTTTGCTTTAATCTTACTAGGTTTTACCTGGAACTTCCTTCACTTAAGACCTCCAATCTTAAGTCGTATTGAACTTGATTCAAGTCGAGGACACTCTCCTTGTCTTGTCTTAGAAACACTGAAACTTCGGTATACGCCGAAGCCTTGAACCGACCTTGGCCGATTACTCTTATCGAGTAGCCATACGTCAGAACCATCCTAGTTCGTAACAAAAGATTAAAGTCTTCCACTGAATACATCGCCATCACACTGCTGTAGCTCAGAAAGAACAAACCCTGATCATCACGACAGATAGAACCACAGGTCCCTAGAAGCTGAAACAAGCTGACGTCATTAACACCAATTTTTGGCGCTTTGAACTTAGGTGCTGTACCACCCCTACCACCTTTGAACCCCCCAATGTCTTCCACAAAACCCGTTGAAATCAAGATCGGATCTCCCCCAGTCTTCGACGGGGATAGAGATAAATCCAAAGGATTCCTGATGTCATGCATGTCTTATCTCAATATCAACGAGAAGATCTATGTCGATGACAAACAGAAAATTATTTTCGTGACCTCCTTCATGAACGAAGGAAACGCGCGCTACTGGAAGGAAGATTTCCTCAGACAAGTGCAGGATCCCAACAACAAGACCACTGTAGGCCTTGTCAAAGGATACGGTACATGGATTGAATTCCTCGCCGACTTCAAGAGTGCGTTTAGGCTGCTTGATCCCTCAGGAACCACGTTAGCCAAGCTTCGCAACCTGAAACAAGGAACCGAACTCCAAGATTACATCTCGGAATTCCTGATGCTCACACGAAGGGCAGGAATTCAAGGTGATGTCGCTAAGAAGCAATTCTTCTTAGACGGATTACACCCAGGACTGCTCGCTCGCCTCTATGGCATGGGTGATGTCTCTGATGACTTCGAAGTTGTCCTCTCCACCTGCATCAATCTCGACAACTCACGACTTCACTTGAATGCCATCAGGGCGCGTCACCAACCCCAGAAGAAGAAAAACTTCGGATCTAACCGATACGTACCATCTAGAGATCCCAACGCCATGGTGATCGATCGGCTTTCTGAAGAAGAATGGGCTGAACATTTCCGAACCGGAAAATGTTTCACCTGTCACAAGACCGGACATCTTTTCAAGAACTGTCCTGAGAAGAAGAAAGGGAAGACCTCGATTCATTGCAAAGAAGTAGAAGACAGTGACAAAGAAGAAGAAGCAGAAGTCCATCGTCTCAATGAGGATTTTTGATATGGGAGACTGGATCAACGTCAGTATCTCTCGATGTACCCATAAGACTTGTATGAAAAGTTGGTGAACGAAAGGAACTTCGGGTTCCCATTTCCCTCATTTCGAAAACACGTCTGAAAACCGTTGAAACCACCGCAGTTGTTGATTCCGGAGCAGCCGGAACCTTTATTTCAGAAGACTTCGTCAAGAAGCACAAGATCCGAACCCATGCCCTTAGTAAACCCTTCAGGGTCACTACCGCCGATGGAAGCTATTCCAAAAGCGGAGCCATACGCCGATACTGCGTCCTTACCGTCAAAATTGACGAACGAACCATTGATTGGAAAGTTTAACGTCACACGTCTTGGCAGAAAGAGACCAAATCCTCCTTGGAATCCCTTGGCTATGGGCTATGAACCCGGTTATTGACTGGGCAGCCGAAAACCCTCATCCTTTCCCGAATGGAAAAGAGTAATCAAGTTGAAGAAGAAGTCGACAAAGAAAGGAAGAAGAATGACCTTCCACTTCTATTTCGAGAAGAACCCATCGACCAGACCTGGAAGCAATCCAAACTTAGGAAAGCACCAGTTATCGAACCCCCATCGTTTATCTGAAAGCGACCATCAAAAAAATCATTGACGAAGAAGCACCATCCATTCTTCCCACCATTGACCCACTCCCCGATCTACTCCCCATTCCCGATGAAGATGACGAAACCTTTGATACTAAGGAAGATGTCTGGACACAAGAGAACTTTGCTGCACCAGTGCGAGAAGTCTCTATGTATGATCTAGATGACGACGAATTCCTGGTAGAATATTCCCTCGATGCATCCGAACTCCGGGTAATTCGAACACTACCATGGAGATGCCATGTAACCTCCAACGGAACCAGTCACTCGGAACAGAAACCCACAGTCAAACCCCTGCCACAGCCCACGGAATACGCGAAGTTAGTAATAAAGCTCAGCAGTTCGCTCTAGCTGCGGGCTCTTAGAACAAAAGAAGAAAACTTTCGAAGAACTTGTACCTTCCTATCTACACGATTTCGCTGACATCTTTGCCAAGGACGGGTCTTAACCAACTACCCCCTGAACGACCCGGTATTGACCACCGTATTGAAACGAAACCAGGATTCATTCCCAAAACATCGAAAATCTATCCTCTCTCCATCGCTGAACGGACCGCTGTCAAAGCATTCATTGAGGAAAATTTTATTTCGGAATCTAAATCGCCACAGGCCAGTGGGTTCTTCTTTGTAGGAAAGAAAAGCGGAGATCTCCGACCCTGTCAGGATTATCGGTACATCAACGATTGGACGATCAAGAATGCTTATCCACTGCCGCTTCCCTTATCTCTCGTCGCACGGCTGCACGGAGCAAAGTATTTTACCAAGATGGACGTCCGATCCGGCTATAACAATATCCGCATTCACCCTGATGATAGATGGAAAGCTGTGTTCACCACGGAATATGGACTCTATGAGCCGGACATCATGTTCTTCGGACTTTGCAATTCTCCAGCCACGTTCCAAGCCTACATGAACCGCACCTTCCAACAAGAAATTAATGAAGATGGTTGGTGATCTATATGGACGACATCCTCATCTTTTCAGATGACCTTAACGAACACCATGCTTGTACCCGTCGTATTCTTACGAAGATCCGAGAAGAACAACTCTTCCTGAAACCGGAGAAATGTACCTTTGATGCAGAAGAAGTCAAATATCTTGGCATGATTATTCGCCCAGGCTGCATCGCCATGGATACTGCCAAAACAGATGGAATCCGCGATTGGCCGATCCCAACCACCATCAAAGAAACTAGATCATTCCTGGGATTCTGCCATTTCTACCGAAACTTCATTCCCCATTTATTCTGATATCGCACGACCCCTTATCAACCTTACGAAGAAAGATAACGTGTTCCTTTGGTCCGCACCCTGTCAAGATGCATTCACGACACTTAAGGAGTGTTTCCTGAAGCAAACCAGTCCTCCGTACCCTGATCCATCACGCAATTTGCAAGTTGCTACCGACGCATCCCTTGTCGCAACCGGTGCTGTCTATTACAGACCGACGAGATGCGTATATCATCCATGCGGATACTCTCCCAATCCT